GGATTTTAGTCAAGAATATTTACTTTTTAGAGATTAATCGCCGTATTGGCTACAGTAAAGAATGTACTTTGTCATCTCAAGACGTCGAGAAAAAATAGCGTTTGGTTGCAGTTAAATAACATCAATTGAAATAGTTTACAAGATTTTGATATTAATAATCCTTTTTTGTTTCATTAAGTTTAATTTTTAAATTGGAAAAAAAAACACCGAAAATAATTGTTGGGCTCTGATAATTGCGTCAATTACCGACGGTATAGAAGTTTGTCCATCGTCCATCATTAAGGTAAGTTTGCATTATTAAATTATTTTTCCTTTTCACCGTTTTTTTTTTTTTTTAATATTAATTCTTTTTATTTATTTCTTTCCCTCCGATCATTATTTATTTGATCCATGTGCTTAATCAACAGATTAAACAATTTATCTTTCATACTCTTAAAACAACAAATCATAAGCATGAAAATCAAGGACGTTATAACATGCAACTTTGACACTTGTATTAAGATAGATTATACAACGCTTGTTCGTATAAATTCATTTTTTTGTTGTTATAAAATTGCGGAGCATCTTTATTAAAGTGAACACACTAGGACAAATGCGGAGCTTTGATTAAAGTCGTCGTTTAAAGACACAAAATAACTTATGCATTTTCATTTTCCATATAATTTTGAAAAGTGCCGTACGGCTAGCCAATACAGCGTGTCCTGGCTAGAACTTTTGGCTAGCCATACGGGCCCGTACGGCCAGCCACTTCCATTAAATATTTACAACACATTGAACAGCTTACTTAACCTGTAGGTATATTAACATATAATATACTATAGCTATATGCTTTCTACTGGCCGCCACAATCATAAGTTCATTTAATGAAGTTATTATAAAATACATCATAATCATAAATAAATTCTAAACTCACCAGTTCGTGGAAATGAATGTACCCCAATAATAGCATTATCTTCTTCAAACACGCATACTGTCAAACTCTCTCTCTGCTGTAACTTCTGCAAAATATAATAAACACAATGTGCAAAGTGATAGGAATGAAATGTGAGATTAAGTAAACAGAGAGCTAGATTAACGGATTTTTCTGAAAACAATTCTCAAAGGTTCCAAATCACGAAAACTGATGACATTTCAAATCAGACCACACTCATTACATAATTAAAAAATCATCTATGACATACACTCTATAAAACACTAATTTAAACCAAATGCAACTCAAAATAATACTGACCAACTATAAATAATCCATATTTCCAATAAATTAAGAACACTTTGAACATTTTACAAACAAAGTCGCTTAAGGTCAGACACTCACATTGATATTTCCATACACTTACATTATAAGAAATGGTCCCTAATCCTACCTTAAAATTGAGTTTTCATGCTAAAGAGGTAATTTTTCTAGCAGAATGAAATGCCTGACACATAAAAATGTTCCTGTTATATAGGGGTAGCCAACCAAATGTTTTGCAAAATGACTTCAAAGAGGATTACCCCCTATTTCATTGAAATTTTCTGCTGATCACAGGACTGACATACACTTTTTATAAATGCAAATGTCCAAGTCAAAATTATCACAGAGACTCATGAAATATTTCATTTTCTTCAGAAAACAATGTAGTGTTACTTTTTAAATTAGTTTTTATACTTAAAAATACCCCACTTTCATCCAATCACCTCATGTATAAATTGACTCATACGGTTTTCCCTGCACTTTTTTTCAGCCAATCGCTGGCCGTGTTACAATGCGTTACCCTGACCTTAAACATAGACAAAACTAGTGATATTGCGGAAAACCAAGGGAAACAACTCAAACAAACAAAAAATATATCAAGACACCTGAATACACTGTTAGTTTACACATCATGAAATCCAAATAAGAATTCCAAAACTGATTACAGTACATTAGGTTTAAATAATATTGGTAAGTTTTCTGTACCTACTTTTAGAAAATGATGAGATCAGCTTTCACATACAAAATGTCAAAAATAGCGTCGAAAACTTTGTTTTGGTACGAACTACTTCCTTACTCAAAGTTAACGCGAATGAATACTAATGATATTTTTTACTGATTATATCCTGAAAACATGCAAATAATATACGATAGAAATAACACAATCAAAAATGAACTACTGACAATTCAAAATCTTATCACTTGTGTGTGACAAGAAAATCTGTGTGGAACTACTTTGCGTTGTTAGGTACCCATTCTTATATTGTAATCCCGCAAATTGTGATAGAACTGTATTCACTGCTTACGCAGCGAATACAAAAATCAGTTTAATTAATGGTTCAGGTATAAAGAAAAGAGGAACAATTTATGTTGAGTAACTGTTTATTCACAATAAAACATCATATATGAAGCAAACTTGCTTAGCAATATTGTTAAGGAACTGCTATGATTAAGCAAGTATTTCGTACGTTAACTTAGTTTACGTAACTTATTATGATTTATGCTAAAGATTTTATTGATAGTATAGATCTCGATATTAAATTAATTAATATGTGGTAAGTATAGGACGAAGTTGTGACCTAGTAGGCCAAATTCGAATCTTTGAAAATCCCTTTTGCAGTTTTCATAAAACTATTTTTATGCGCTATCGAAAAAAATAAGCTATTTAGTTGAAATCAATATTCCTGTCGTTACATACGATATAGTTAACGTTTAATTGCCTTTCAGTTCGATAAAATATTAACAAAAAGATATTTTATTAGTTTTCATTATTATGTGTCGTACCGTTTTGGTAACCTGCGCGACGGAAATCGACGGAATATAACGAAGACGACGATTACCACTATTTATTTCAATAAATGTGCCTCTTTAGCATAAATCTATTTTGTGATGTTCAACCTAAACTAAACTATTGAACATTGACAGAAAGGGAAAAATTTAACCCTTTACCAAGATAAAATGAAAAGGTTTTGAAAATTTATTTAATTCTTTAATGTACTAATCCTTTCTAATGATATAAAATATGAAACTGATTAATGAAAGATAACTTTGTAATTATTTATACATTTGCATCTAATTAGCCCCCATACCGTTTTCCAACTAGTATGTCTTATCAGCAATCTGTTACTATTAATAGATTCTATAACACTAACATACAACGTGTAGTCACGTGATTCTTACAACAGAACAGGGAGAATCTGTTTATAATTAGATAAAATAATGAAATATAATAGGTGTCATAAGATATAAAACAACCAGATAATTTAAATGTGTCATTTTAAATATCATTCATGATTTATCAATCATAAAATAGCAACGCTTGACACTTAGAAAAAAAGTAAAAGTATCCCTAAATTCAATGACTGGTCCATAGGGATACGTTATTAATTCATTTTATGAAAATTGTAATGTTGCTTTTTAAGATGTCAATATTTGTATATTTCATTTCATTTAGCAACGTTAATTTATTTTTGAATTTTTAAGATTCTGAAAAATAATTGTGGTCCTTAATTGTTCAGTAATTGATTTGCTTTTATTTTCAGATTTTAAGGCCTTCTCCTACCATAGATATAATATTAAGCTGTTACAAATATAGTCGCCGGTTTCTACCGGCGACTAATAACAAAAAGAGTACAAGAATGAAACTAATTAAGAAGCAGTTACATCTTCAAGAAACTGTTGCCTCAACTTAAATGCATTATGAACATAGTGAGCACATGTAAGAATAAGCTTTTTGTTATTAGTGTTATTAGAGGGCAATATAGTCGAAAATTTTTGTATAGTAGGCCATGAAATGTTTCCTAAATATTTGGTTCTTATAACAGTATAAATTGGACAACATAAAAGGAAGTGGTATTCTGATTCAATAGAATTATATATACATAGTTTACATTTGCGATCGTTTCTATCAATGTTAAAAAAATCTTCCAGTTTCTATTTCTAAGTTATGCGAGCCTAGTCTGAAACAAGCAAAATCTTTTCTTAACACATTATTTGTTAAAACATCAAGATATTTTTCATAACAAAAAGAAGTTTTAATTTTTCTGTAATAATCAAGCTTGGGCATATTTTGTATAGAAGTATTCCAGTTCTGTAAATATTGGTCTCGCAGACGCTGCTTTAACATTGGCATATAATTAAAATTTAAGTTAAAGTTAAGCCAAATATCACTACAACCTAAACTGTCTAACAAGCGTTTTATACTGCTTGCCCAATTACAATCAACATTTCGAGTACACTGGTCTACAAACATGTTGTACATTGGTGAGTCCTGGTTTTTCATAATTTTTAACCAGAATTTAAGAGTTCTTTCTTTAGAAATAACAGAAATGTTAATTTTAACATTTGACCAAGAAGGACTGTGTAGATAATAACTAAAATGATAATTTACTGGCTTATAACCAGTCCTGTTCCCAACTATATCTAAAGAGATAAAAATATGAGACCGGTTTGTTTCCAATTTGCCCGGCTACATCACATATCGCTTCCATGTGTGGCTATTACAGGCTTGCTGGATGATCGCAAAAGAAATTCAATGTTTCCAGATTTCATCATTTTCGTTTGCGTATGAATTAATTTTAACTGTGTTTGTTTCACATTCATGAGCGGGATTTTCTTAAAGATATTTATACTTTAAGGTTTTTAAATATCAATTTTGCATTTGAAACTAATCAATATTTCGATCGTCTGTCCGTGCTGGTTCAGAAATTTAGAGAACTATTTAATGAACACACGATGCGTACTCTGCGCGCACTGAAAGCATAACCTCGGCGGCACCTTCCCTTTTAAGGTATGAGCCCCCTAATGGGCACTAGAAGGAACTATAAAATTGGCAACATAGGTCAGTTATATACCTTAAAAGACACAAGAATGCAAAATTTAAACAAAGTTTACCGTATGGTTTATGAGTTATGGAGATTTTTCTAAAGTAAAACTTGGCTATTAGAAGGGCTCTTTTTCAGAAATGAGAAACTCTAATTATTCTATTATATAATCAGAACATTTAGTAGTACGTGGCCGCATAATTGCCACTGAACACAGTGAGTAGAAATAACGCACCGCTTAAAAATTGAAAATGGCCGAAACAGAAAGTAAACAAGACAAGTATGTATTTTAAAACGATATTAAATAGCAATTAGGTTATACATTTATATACTAGACATTTAAAATTGATGACATTTTATAGATTCATATTTTTACGTGTTTGCCCTTTAACCAGAATCAGCATTTTGAGAAGAATCTTTTTAACAATGAATAAAAAAATGCAAAAAATTATGAGTGAGACTAGCCTAATTAATTTGGCGTGAACGGTTTGACCCATTTTACAGACTTTTTTTTATACTGTCAAAACGTTGGAAAAAGACAGCGCCCGTCCAAAATTATCTCGGTGTCTCTTTGACAAGTCTAATTAGTTGGACTAGAGTGAGACTAATATAAAGTTTCCTTTTAAAAGGAAAGGCTTGCACAGTTGTGCCTTCATCCCAACCCTTTAAAATTGTTTTGTTTTTTTTGGTTTCAATTTATTATCACAATTTTTTTGAATTACGGTATTTGTACAGTACAGATAACGAGGAATATGCAAAATCCTCCGAGGATCGAGGAAAACACTCGCAACTCTGCGAGAGTGTTTGTCCATAAAAACGAGTGACTCCGCGTGAGAAACGTGTGATGAGAGACGAAAATAAAAGCGCATGACTCCGAGAGAGAATTACCGCGTAACTCCGTGTCGGTGTCTAGCTGGTGTAAATAAATGCAAGTGCAATCTCATTTTATATTTAATTTAATTCTTTAGATTACCATTCGAAAATAAAGATGTTTTTTACGGTTGTTGTTTTCTATTTACCCTGAAACAGTTGAAAGGTACATTTGATTAGAAAAAATCACTACCGTAAGCGTCATCAGTTCTCAAGTTTATTTTTATCCCGATTAATTAGGTCAGTAGCAATAACCACAGGAACCCGAAATTCTATCAAAAACAAAAAACGATTTAAAAAATCCATATAATAACGGCCCAACTTTTTTTATACTTCTTTAAGAAATGAATTAATTATATAAACTTCTTAATCTTAAATGTTTCTAAATGCATCAAATACCGATAACGTGCTGTTCTAATTTATTTCAGGTGCCAAATATTGTGTTGTGTTTTCTTTTTTCAATGTGGAAAATGAGTTTCGATCTTCATAATATTTTAATCATTGATAACATGTGCACATAAAAAAAATTGACTTTCCCAACTTTTATATTGGTTTGTATAGTTTTTAAAATTGTGATGATGTGCATGTACGTTTCTTCATAATCCATTGTTTACATGTATTTTAGTTACGTGTCAACCTGTCACATCCGCCGTTTTAATTAGAAGACACTTGATTTATATATAATTTTTGAGAATTAACATTAACTTAATGGTTTCTAAATAAAGCTGCATAAAAATTAGTAATATATTGTTGTAATTTTATTCCAAGAATATCTCCGAAAATCTGTCGGTCTCATTCTGTTATCAGTCATATGTAGATGTATGTTGATATTGGAATCAAAAGTAAATTGTCTTGTGATGATCATTAATAAATTAAGATTTTTGTTTTTTATTTCAGGCATTATGGAGGAATTCAAGAGTTATAGAGGTGTTAACAAGTTGACAGAGGCCGTTCAACTTACCTAGCGCACTGCTCCCATAATTCATTCACCTGTAATCAGCATTACAAAGATTGACAAAAAATAAAAACAGCAAAGAATAAAATGATCATTTTATTTGTCTTTTTGTTTTATTTGTTTATGGTTTGTACATCCAGTGATTTTTCTCGCTTAATTGGGAAGAAGCCTTAGCCTCTTGATTTTGGGAAAAATTATCTAATTTGGGAAGAAAAAAGCATGTTTCATTTCAGATTTTTGGGAAAACTGCATGATTTTAAAGAAAATTTCAATTGGGAAGAGGCCCTTTTTCGGAGTCTGTTATATAAGTAGGAAAATCACTGACATCATCTATATCATGTCATTTTATAAAAATAAAAAACAAGTTTTGACAAAGATTAAACTACTTCCGCTTTTAACGTACATGTACTGTTCATAGACGATAAAACAATATTTTTATAATAGCATATGAACATATTTGATCGTCACAGCAAGCAGGCATGCATTGTACATGTACTTATGTTTATTGAAAAAGACCGCCATGCCTTTAAAAAATCACTGCCAATCTCAATGTTCTTGTTTTATAATTCATGGTTTTATTTTTGAGACGACGCAGCGCCTGTTGTTTTCCCCCTGCAAACATCGGTAGAATTTCATAAATGAATTCCTTAATGTTGTCCTTTCTTGTGCTGCCAACATCGGTAGAATTGCCTAGCAGATCGAACTTCTTAACTCTGTTCTATATTGTTCTGAAAGCAATAGTAAAATAAATTTAAACATTAATGTTAAAAGCAGGACTGTACATGCCGACATAGGGTGTCGCTGTTTTGGCTAGTGCATTGTATGGAATGATGTATTATATCTCGTATTTTACAGATTTTTTATCAACCAACAAATAAAAGGAGACGTACATGTACTTCACATGGAAATCCGTTTGGTATCATTTATGTAACTGGTACAAATTTATCTAAAAGCCTGACTTAAAAGTATAAAATTACCTTTTTCAGAAGTTTACTTTCCAAGGCAGATGCATTTCACTGAAGAATACTTTGTAAACTGTCTTAAAGAAAATGTTGTTTTTTTTATTCAGTTCTGGTACAAAGTATAATTTCCCTTACGATAGTATGTCAATGGAATGAATCGACCTAAGCACGTGGTTGTTTTGCCATGTATTTCCTTTTTTTTTTCTTCTTCTTTTTTTGCTTACATAATAATTATAAATTTGTATAAACAATGCAAAAAAGAAGCTCATCTATATTTTCTTATTTTAGAATACTAAATTAAATAGGTTTTTGACACTGCGCGTTACGGGAATTGCGGGAAATCATCGGTTATTCTTTCCTTTAATTATTTAATGAACTTTCGTTTTCACTTGTGATACTTTACATGTACATGTATATCATAAAGGGTTTATTTAGTTTTTTTTTTTTTTTTTTTTTTGGAAAAACAAATATTTTTTGTCAAAACGATTTGAACTCTATTCTCTATTGTATAAAACTAATAAAGAAAATGATCAATCGTAAAACGTGGAGATTTATCTATCATACTGAAGGGAAACAAGTGTGCACATTTCATTTCCCCCATTTATCGCAGAGAATTCATTCGTTTGCTTTATAGACAAGTAAATGCACTAAAATACTTCGTTACGTGGTACCAATTAATAAGCATGTATCAACTATGTTACACGATCAAAATACGATGCGCTATCTGTAGATCAGCACGTGACAAGGTTAATGATAATATGCATGGGCTATTTTTAGATTACCTCACCAAGAAGTTGAATTGCGTTCAGTAGATCTAAATATAACTCGATCATGCGTGATTTCACTGATTTGGTAAGCAGGACCACCCTTTGAAGACGGAATACTACTACAGTCACCATTCTCTATTGCATAAAACTAATACAGACAAAAAAAAAACAATTATAAAAGAAACTTACTTTTGCATCTTGAAAAACAATTGAAATGGAACAATTTCGTTTATAATTTATTACGGTTTAAACCGATAAATCGAGTAAAAATAGAAATCCTATTTATATAAACAAACTGGGATTACCGAAGTAACTAAAATAGCTTAGATTTCCGTAATATTACTTCGTCTGATTCCGCAGTATGACGGAATCGCCCGAATTGTCAGGATTGCAATCGGAACTACATCGGCTATTATCATTAATCCGAAGAGTGACGGAAAAGGCCGAAAAGTTGCGATTGGCACGATTGCAGCTGGTTTCCCGTTCAATCATGCGCCAACAGATGTAAGCAGGAAACCACCTAACGGGAACAAGTTTTCCAAATGAAATGGCTTGCTGCAAGCCAAAAAGGATTGGAGCACCTCACTAAATACTGTATTCCGGTATAAACCGGGCAAGGCGCTTGAATCATAAAATGCTAAAATCTTGAATTTTTACCCAACGGAATGAACTTGAATAGGTCTAATTCATCTTTTCATACCGATTTATGTATGATAATGAATGAAAAAATGTAAAAATCGTTGAAAAAAATGATATTTGTCTATTTTGTGATCATGGTTTCTGCAAGCGTCTAGAGGTACTGCTTCAATCCTGTATTGAGTTAAATCCAAAAATTATTATCAAAATTTCTGGGCTTCCTTGTATAATGTAAGCCGTGTACATGTATAATGTAAGCCGTGTCATAAAAAAACAGTAAAGAGTGACTTTTGAAGTGCATATATGATACTTAACATTTTTACATTTTAAACAAGAGTTTAAACAAAACAAAACTAGCTGCATGGTCAACTCGGCCCAATACCATATCGATGCGGGTCAACTCGGCCCATAATTATATATTATTACAAGTAATAATTGCTTTTATGTCTTTTCATAATTAGTGCATACTCTAACACATTATGTAGGCTAATTGTGTTAAGCCATTCAGTGTTTTGTTTGAAAAAGTTTTACGACAGGAGGCTCAGCAGGGGCCCAATGTCCAATAACAAGAATTTTATGACCTATGGTACATTTATCTTCAAACAAGTTGTTTTTTCCTTCATCTTTTGAAGAGTTTGGAGAGCTATTGTAATTTGTTCTCACCCGTGTGAAAGTTTTGCATGCAGTATCGGTCTTCAATATTGCTATTTAAGGTATTCACTTGAAACTTAATACATGTCTCCAGGATGATAACTGGAGGTCACTTTCCAAGGCTCATCACTTAAATATGCATTTTGATGGAATTATTTTATGCCAGTTTGAAAAATGGGTCGTTTTATAGTTTCCCTCCTGGCGGGCTGGTGGGTGGGTTGTAGGCATCCACAATTTTGTCCTGAGCGTATCTCCTATAAGCATTGAGGAATTTTATTGACACTTCATAGAAATGTTCACCACAATGAGAAGCTGTGTTGTGCACATGAACCAGGTCTCTAGGTCAAAGATCAAGGTCACACTTGGAGGTCATTGAAAAACGCTTGTCCGGAGCAAACTTCTACATACATAGAGAGATTTCAATATAACTGTGCACAAATGTTCACCATTGCAAGGCGGAGTGTCACATGCAAAATTTAGGTCCCTGTGGCCAAGGTCAAGGTCACACATAGGGGTCAAAGTTCAGATAAAAATATGAAAATTTGTATGCGGACCCAGAGTGTCCATTTGACCCTTGAATGACTCTGACCCTTCAAATTTCCAAAAAGCCTGATTTGACCCTCAGGATTTTAACTGGAGGGTCAAATTTTGTTAAAATCATGGGGATTGGGCCTTGAAGTCAGTAAAACTTAGTCAAAATGACCCTCAGGATTTCATGGCTAGTGAACACCCTGGCCGACCATTTAGTCAACATTTATTGAGGGATTGAAACACAAATGGTCATTATCAATTTATCATGACTATCATTGTGAAGGTAAGTTTTGTGCACATAATCCAGGTCCCTGCTACCAAAGTCAAGGTCACTTATAGAGGTCAAAGTTTGTGTCCAAGGACCATTTAGTCATCATTTATTGATGGATTGTAACAAAAATGATAAATATCATGACTATTATTGTGACACATAATTTAGTTAATATTTTAGAGGTCATGGTCACTACTGACTAGAGATGATAAAATATCCAGATATTGTCCGGATGTCGCCCGAGCATATCTCCTAGTCCTTAAGTGCAAATGTGTAATTTGTTGCTAATCAATATAAAATTATCAGGAAATGGACATAAACCAACAGGAGAGCTGAGACTGTGAAACAGACAGGAGAGCTGAGACTGTGAAACAGACAGGAGAGCTGAGACTGTGAAACAGACAGGAGAGCTGAGACTGTGAAACAGACAGGAGAGCTGAGACTGTGAAACAGACAGGAGAGCTGAGACTGTCCTGAATTTTGACACAAAATTTTCACTTTTTTTTTTTTTTTGGACTAAGGTTTGTTGATAAAATGCATATTTTATAATTTGGAGGTTTTCTTATCATTTCAGTGACATGAATACCAGTTTGTTTGTTAAAGTGCTACCAAAACAATGGCCAATTGTTTATTGTCCAGAATATAACATTGGCTTTCTAGGGCTGGAAAGACTTCATCCTTTTGATGCCGGAAAGTGGGGAAAGGTGTATGGATTCCTAAAAGGTAAAGTGCTTTTTACTTACTTTATATTCTGCTCTATAATGTACCCATTAATTTGATTATACATGTAATATGACATTTTATTTTGATGTGTTCAAGTAGTTCTGGACTTAAACTGAACTCATTCATGATTGGAACAAAGCAACCTGCTAGCCAAAAAGAGGTCAGTGATTTGAGTAAGGTGCTTTAGATAGTATTGGAACTCTGATTTTCCTCCTATTATAGAATATTGGCTTCACTTAAGTCTTTGTAAACTGGAAACCTGCAAAATGACTTATACTTTTCTGGATTGACTTAATCAGACAAAATAATAACAAAGAAGCAAGGGGCACTTTTTCCAGCACTTTTTCTCTTGGTCTTATGTGAGCTCATGCTAAATGCTAACCTCATTTAAATTTAAGTTTATGATATTTTTTACTTACCAAAGATAATGTATGTTTGCTATATAATATTTATACGTTTACATTTATTCAGTCATCTTAACAAGTCGCTTTAGATAGGTACATTTGTACCAAATGCTTAAGCCTTTTAAAAAATTGTTTCATCATGCGGATGATAGTAGCCTGACTTTACTGTTGTCCTCTCTATTTTAACATTCTGATCCTGGAATTCTTTAATTTAAATTCAAGAGCAAAGTTTATCCAAATTAGATTGATAAATGTTAAAAAAAGAACTGTTCCATATGGTTTGTTTTGGAATAGAGAAATATTTAGCTTGTTTGTTTTTAGCTCGACTATTTGAAGAATATGAGAGCTATTGTAGTCGCCCCGGCGTCGGCGTCCGCGTCTGCGTTGGTTAAAGTTTTTTGTAAAGTCAAATATCTCAATTATTACTTGAGATATTCAATTGAAACTTACAATACTTATTTATAGTAACAAGGTACATCAGATTGACAAGTTGGATAACTCTGCCTACAATATTGACAGAATTATGCCCCTTTTGAACTTAGAAATTTTGGTTAAAGTTTTTTGTAAAGTCAAATATCTCAATTATTGCTTGAGATATTCAATTGAAACTTACATTACTTATTTATAGTAACAAGGTACATCAGATTGACAAGTTGAATAACTCTGCCTACAATATTGACAGTATTATGCCCCTTTGGAACTTAGAAATTTTGGTTAAAGTTTTTTTGTAAAGTCAAATATCTCAATTATTGCACGAGATATTCAATTGAAATTTAAAATACTTTTTTATAGTAACAATGTACATCAGTTTGCAAAATTGCATAACTCTGCCTGCAATATTTGCAGAATTATTTGCCCCTTTGAAACTTAGAAATTTTGGTTAAAGGTTAAAGGTCTTCAAAGATATTTACTTGAAACTTTACACATGCACTTAGGGTCATTATTGGAGGGTCATAATTGTATGTCACTGACCAAGTTCCATAACTCCATCTTGCATTAAGGCTGATTCATATCCTCTTTTCTACTTAGTCTCTTGTTTAATGTTTACTTGCAAGTTTTACATATCTCAATAACTATTAAAGATATTTATTTAAAACTTCTCATATGCATTTAGGGTCATAATTGTAGGTCACTGACAAAGATCCATAATTCTATCTTGCATTTAGGCTGATTTTTCTCCCATTTTTTCAACTTAGAAATTCATGGTAAAGTTTTGCTTGTAAGCTGTTATCTCAATAACTACTTAAGGGTTTGTATTTTTTTTTTTGGGACAATTTTATGCATTCATGATAATAAAGCAGTGATTTACTTGATAAAACATCTTAATAACAAGCCTTTGTACCTTTTCTGTCAAATTTATGTATTCATAGGTAATTAGTATTATTATACTCAATAAAACACCCTTGTGACATTTCCTTCCGAATAGTCAAGGCAATACTGTATAATTAGACTCTCTCTAAGGCCTATAACATGAATTTACAAAAAAAAATTAGCCCTTTTGTGAACTTAAAAAATTAAACATTATCAAGGCTCTTTTACTATCAAGCACTTAGAATAGTCGAGCGTGCTGTCATACTGACAGCTCTTGTTATAAAAAAAGTCGATTCAAACAATTTCAAAGGTACATGTATTAATGTGAAACTTGCAAAACACTTGCTTATGATATCATGACAAGAGGCAGTTATTACTCAAGGGGCATAGTTCTGAAAGCTATATTTTTGGAGTTATGTCCCTTTTGAACTAAGAAATTTTGTCAAAAATGGTTTTAAAAACGGACAAGTGTTAACACCACATGCAGTGCTCTTGTTTTACTGTCTCAAGGTCACTCTCGTATTTCTCTAGTTAAGTAACATACTGCAGTCATTGAAGTTAAAATTTTGAATTAACTGGCCCGAATTCCAGTTTAGAATTTATTTTACTATATATTTAACTAAATTTTCTTTAAATCTACACTGGCCCACAACTAATTTTCACTGGCCCAAAACTAATTTTCTTTGCCATGGGCCACCTGGCCATTGCTAAATTCGATGACTGGTACGATTCTAAGTCTATTGAAAATTCACTGATATGATCATTTGTGGTGACATTATACTGCCTGAGCTAATACATTATTAACACAAGTTAATTGTCAATAAAAGTGTTATGCTTTGAATTTACTGTATTATTACAGCCGATGGCATGGTCAGGGATGATACTATTGTAAGACCAGAGGAAGCCACGGAAAATGATCTCCGCAAAGTTCACACAGAAGCCTATATCAAGAGTTTAAAGGTAGGTTGACAAATTTTCTGTGAAAATACTAAATAGTTCATTACTTATACTCATTCAAGGGATTTTAGAATTATTTTTTGGCTTTTAAGCTTTTCGTGATTTTTATACTTTTTTTTCAGTGACTTTTTTATTACTTACAGATCTTCCAATTCTTTTAGTTTTACTTGTTGTAAATTTTTTCATATAAAATGTAAGATAATGATACATGATATCAATTTCAAAACCTCTTTGTTTTGATTTTGTTCTGAATATATATTATTATTTATCATTATTTATGCTCATGCTTAAATTTTAATTATGAAGACATTTGTTGCAAATATTCATTGCAGGTATTACTTACATGTACATTGTATATGCTATTGCTGACTTGTATTCTATATACATTGTACTCATGCAACTATTCATTACATGTTCATTCAACATTTATTACATATTATATGTTATTTTGGTTTTGGAGTGATATATGTGGATATATTACCTGTTAAGATTTTATATCACTCGAGCCGTTAGGCGAGGGTGATATTTTATCTTGGCAGGTAGTATATCCACATATATCACTCCAAAACCAAAATAATAATTTTATTACCCTTCCCCTGCCGAGTTTAGACGATTTTTTAAAAAATCATTGCTGTTTCAAATGAAACGTCGAAATAAGATTCCTTTTAGGATACCTCTTCGTCACATAATGTTGTCACATAAATACATGACGTATTTCTCCCGTACAGTACCTTACGAAAGTAAACAAGAGAAAAGGAGTAGTCTATTGAACGCACTTTTTTGTAATTAATATCAAGCTTTCACAAGGTCATATTTGTTTTCGATACTGATGGTAATATGTATCATTACTCTACTTTGGTAAATATTGATCATTTGACAGTTAAAAAGTGCTTTTAAATCGGAATTTACACCGCGTAAAATCGAACAGTACGCGCATCACCTCAGCGCATGTTGTTTACAACGTTGGGTACCAAACGGGGAAATTTAGTGTGTCTATTACCCGTCTGACTCCGTTATATCAATTTCTTTCGGGTGATCAATATCCAATCAAAAAGGCAGAAAAAATCTGGAAGGGTAATAAACATGTATATCGTCACCTTAGTGCAATAATGGGTTAAGTCCTTCTTAATAAAATAGAAGTTTACCTGTTATTGCTATAAGGTAACAAATTATGCTCAAAATCACAGAATATCATTATGATTATGTATTTATATGGTGGAAATTTAATTCATGATAATTGACATAATGCAAACATTTATGCTATGAATATCATACATGTTCATTCTAACATTCATTAGAGATGATCTTGCATAAATTCATGCTAACATATTTGAGCCGCCTCTCAACAAAACCAACGTAATGCATCTGCGACCAGCATGGATCCAGACCAGCCTGCGCATCCGCACAGTCTGATCAGGATCCATGCTGTTCGCTTACAAACCCTATAACAAGTAGAGAAACTGATAGTGAACAGCATGGTTCCTGATCAGACTGCGCGGATGCGCAGGCTGGTCTGGAGCCATGCTGGTCGCAAACGCAATACGTTGGTTTTATCGTGACGCGGCTCATTTTATATCTGCTTATACAAACATTCATTATATAAAATTCATGCTAACATCTATGTTTATATATTGACTCGTTGCATGTGCAGCTTTCAAGTATAGTGGAGGGGACAGTTTTAAAGGAGGTAGTACACACTGTAGAGACTTAACAAAAAAAAAACGCCAACAAATTTGATGTTGTATGCATGCAAAGCTCAGGCACATGATCCTTTATAATTATAATAACTAACAGTACATACCCCCAATAATTACCCGACTTCCATTAAAACATGTACTTACACATCTCAGTCCTTTGTCAAGGGAGATAATCTAGTTGATGATTTTTTAGCTCGACTATTCGATAAGAATAAGTAGAGCTATTGCAGTCACCCGAGCGTCGGCGTCGGCGTAACCACTTATGTTAAAGTTTTTGTAATAGTTCAAATATTTTCAAAGTCCATTGACATATGGCTTTGAAACTTTGCACACTTGTTCACCATCATGACCCCAACCTGTAGACAGGAGGAGGTAACTCTATCAAGCATTTTGACAGAATTATGCCCCTTTTTCGACTTAGAATTTACGTTAAAGTTTTTGTAATAGTTCAAATATTTTCAAAGTCCATTGACATATGGCTTTGAAACTTTGCACACTTGTTCATCATCATGACCCCAACCTGTAGACAGGAGGTGGTAACTCTATAAAGCATTTTGACAGAATTATGCCCCTTTTTCGACTTAGAATTTACGTTAAAGTTTTTGTAATAGTTCAAATATTTTCAAAGTCCATTGACATATGGCTTTGAAACTTTGCACACTTGTTCACCATCATGACCCCAACCTATAAACAGGAGGAGGTAACTCTATCAAGCATTTTTTTACTATCAAGCACTAAGAATAGTCGAGCGTTGCTGTCCTACCGACAGCTCTTGTTTCTTAACAGAGTTATCTAACTTTGATTTCACAAGGGGTTTGGCATTTTTATTTTTAATTAATCTGATTGCACATTTATTTGATGCTACATTTGTATTATCAATTAATAGCACATGATTAAAATTTCTGTTTCAGCCAACTTTTGCATGTTGAAATCTTTCTATGATTTCTTAAAAAAAAGATATAGAGGTTTCTCAATTCTCTTTCTTTAATGACAGGATCATGTGTGTGGAGAAATTTAGGATGTTGTAAATTTTCAAGTTTGTCTTATTTGTTACCTTTCCCCACTTAATTCAGCTTTTATTACTGAAGTGTTTGTATTTTTTTTTTGCTGATTTTTTCCTACTTTTTTTCATTAGCCATTAGCCTCTGTTATATATAATGTAAGAAACTCCCAAAGAATTAGGGTGACACATGTATAAAAGGTGAGATAGTTATAGTTATAATTACAGTAGAGGTAATTGGTTTAAACCCCTCCACTTTTACTTGACTATTTAGTATTTCAAGTAGTTATTGGAACAGTGTTGTAACTTTTAACTTGAATTTTCATGAAGTTACAACAATGTTTCTTTTAACTGTTGAACTTAAAACTAATGTAAAGCAAAGTTAGTATGTTGTTTATATATTGTGCATTATAACTATTATTTTATCAAATTTTTGTAACATTATATCATTACTTCATTTTGTAAGAGAAACTGTGTACTGCAAAATCATTATTATGCTTGGAGACACTTACCGTATTTTCATTGTTTTCATGGAGAGGTCAATCCATGAATTTAAGATCAAACAAAACTTCATATTGTCTCATTGTCTGCTGTAAGATTATTTTGCATTAAATCTTTTGGTAAAAAAAGACATTCTACCCACAAAAATGTTCTTTGTGACAAACCAGAAAACTTCCTGTCCACGAAATTAAGTGAATTCACAGTAGTATGGTAGATGTAGTGTCTAGGTTTCCAGGCGACTTGACTCAATGTATATTCACCCCATTTTGATCAGAACTTCAACAGCATTGATTAAAGTAAAAAAAAAAATCTAACCAGATGGTAAGTGATTGCCTGAAATCAAGAAAACCAACAGGGAACATACAGAAATGAAAACATGGTTTATGATTTAAGAGCTCCAGCAAGTGGACATAAAACAACAGGGAAATAAAAATGAATATAAATGTATTTCGATATTTACTAGCCCTCTATAGTTTCCTCTGTGCTGGATATAAGTCAATATGCTATGTGGAAAAAACAATTTATTACCAGTACAAATGTTCATAAATATATATGATTAGATAATGGCAGATTTCATTGAAATTAACTTATAAAATATCGAGATAAGATACGGTAAAAAATTGTTATTTAGCATTTATATGTCGAAGTCTCAGTACTAGACTTTACTGAAGGATAACATTTGCCCTGAACTGTTACATTGGCAGATAAATCATAACCTGCTTGCTACTCTGATGTCGAATATAAAATGTTGTGTTTCAATAGAAAGTCATATGTCGATCCTAAGTTCTAGGACATCAAACCAACTTAAGAACCAACTTAAGACCGTTTTGACAAATGTTTTTACCTTCAATGAAAGACTGTTGATTATAGTTGAATTAATATTCCTGAGAAAAGTTGAAAAATACAATGACAGACCCTTTGATTCACAATGTGTAATTGCCCATCTGTATTGCTATGAAGAACTTAATAAAAGTCATGAAATAGAGGTCATAAGTTAGGACATTTTCTTAGAAATGCAAAATTATCTGAGTTTTGGTCTTAAGTCAATTAAGACTGATTTCAGACTTAGGACTTTCTATGAAACCCAGTACTGGAATGTAACTGTGTGACCTCTGTATAGAGACCCTCTATACAGCAATGACCTTTTTAGCTCGACTATACTGTTCTACTAGTATATTGAGAGCTGTCCTACTCACCCCGGCGTCTTGATCCACTTCAAACTTCAAATAAATATTTCTTATCATTACACACATGTTGTGTGACAAGGTCCATAACTCTTACTCTTGTGTGACTATTTCTAGAATTTTTACCCCTTGAAAGTGGAACTTATGTTAACAACAATAACTTCTTGTCATAAGAAGAAATGTATTTATATCATAATTGATTTTTCTTTCATAGTTTTTGTCTTCCTTACTGCGCCCAGTAACATTTAAATTAGTCGAGCTTTTGCTGTTTCTCTGTGACAGCTCTTATTAAACAATAGTAACTTTACTTCCAAAAGTAAGACTTCACAATAAAATTAACCTGTCAAGAAAGCATCCAATCTCCCCACCACAATAAATTTCTTGTGGTCAGTCTGCGAATGTTTGCTAGAGGTTTTTTACTGTAATTTTTCTTTGTTGTATCATAAATTTAGAAAGATCAGTGGTACTTTTGTTATATATTATTGAATTTATTGATTATTGTTGATTGATTAGTTGGGATAGTTATCTGCTTCTCTATATTATATTCTTTTTTATGCATGATGTAAATGTGGTATTTAGTTAATTTTACGCGTGTAAATTGTAATCAAATCCCAAGTATTTAAATATTTTAAAATATTTTTTTAAAAATTTCCCAAGGATTTTTCAGCAATTAATGTTTTAAAAGTAAATATCAAAATGGAACAATTTTCAAGTTAATTTTTGATTGGTAAAAATTTTCAAAACAACTCAGGGCCCCAGAGGGCCCTTACTATTTTTATTTATATAAAATGAGAAAAATTTTTTTGAAAATTTTTTGATTTTGGAAATTTTTAAATGCCCTTTTCTAAAAATTTTTTCCAAAATTTAATTTTGTAGTTTTTTTTTGGGTTATTTTTTATACTGTATTTAAAAGGTCATCCTTGAAAATTGCTTATTATGTTGAAGTGACCAAATTTTTTAAGAGAAGGTGCTACTGGGAAGTTGGGTTTAGTTTAATTATCAAATTTATTTTTTTTTCATTGATCCCATTCAAAATATTTAAAATTTTTTTAAAAAAATGAACTGAAATTTTAAAATGCATTTATTTTTATCTCAAAAAAAAGGATTTTTTTACAAGTTTGTTTGGCAAATGTCAATAAACAGCCCAAAGTATTACTAATTGGTAAAATTTGGTCGCTTGTTGTGTATATAATGAATGTGGGGATTTTTTTTTTTCTAGTGGAAGTATGAGGGTAGCCGGGGATCAATGAAAAGTTCCACCCGTAAGCCTTATTTTACCCCCAAATTTTTTATATACAATGCGAAAAGTTTTTTACGTTCCATTTTTAGGTACCCAAAGACCGGTTTGGAATATATTGGTAAATAACATCTTTTAGTTTGGTGGATTTTTAAAAAATGTTTTTAAAAATTTTTGGTAAATTTTCTAAACAAACTAAACCCTTAATCCCTATTGGGGGAAGTTTTGGCCTTATTGGGTTATATATAGGCAGGCAGAGAGAGTTTTCGGTAATGCAGCCCTCTGTAGAAGAAAAACCTTTTAACATCAACAGTTACCCAGTAACAACTCTTTCCAGACTAATTAAGATTTAAGAAAGGTGACTGTTAATACTTTTGTTCATTTCAATAAAATTCCTGTTCTTTCTTAACTTTCATACAAAGTAAAATGAATCTTGAGGAATATTGCTTTAAGTAAAGGTGTTTAAGTTTACAACCAAACTTAGCTACATGGTGATTGAAAATATCATTCTCTTTCCGGTCTTACCAAATTTATCACGTGTCTTCTGTGGAGGAAATGAGTGAAACTATCATTCTATTTCATCTTTTATACCAATTTAGCAAAGTGTGCTTCTGTGAGCAAATGATTAAAACTATAGTTCTATTTCGGTCTTACAACTTAAGCCCACAGCGTGCTTTTCTGTGAGCAAATGATTGAAACTATTAGTTCTATTTCTTCTAACCAACTTAGCAACAGTTGTGCTTTCTGTGGGGCAAATAAGTTGAAAACTATCATTTATAATTTCGTCTTAAAACCCAATTTGTAGCACAGTGTGCTTCTGGTGGAAGTGCAAATGGGTTAAAAAAAACTATAGTTCTATTTTTTGTTCTTCACCAACTTAGCAGTGTGCTTCCGTGTGAGGCAAATGATTAAAAACTATAGTTTTTTTTCGTCTTACAAACTTAGCACAATGTGCTTCTGTGAGAGCCAATGATTTGAAAACTATCATTCTATTTCGTCTTACCAACTTTAGCACAGTGTGCTTCTGTGAGCAAATGTTGAAAACTAACAATTTATTTCGACTTACCAACTTAGCACAGTGGTGCTTGCTGTGAGCAAATTTGATTGAAAACTATCATTCTTATTTCATCTTACCCAATTTAGCACAAGTGTGCTTCTGTGAGCAAATGATTGAAAACTATTTATTCTATTTTTTCATCTTACCAAGTTTAGCACAGTGTGCTTCTGTGAGCAAATGATTAAAAACTATAGTTCTTATTTCGTCTTACCAATTTAGCACAGTGTGGCTTCTGTGAGCAAATGATTAAAAACTATAGTTCTTTTTCGTCTTACCAACTAGCACAATGTGCTTCTGTGAGCAAATGATTGAAAACTATCATTCTATTTCCCCCTCTTACCAACTTAGCACAGTTATGCTTCTGTGAGCAATATGATTAAAAACTATAGTTTTTTTTCGTACTTACCAACTTAGCACAATGTGCTTCTGTGAGCAAATGATTGAAAACTATCATTCTATTTCGTCTTACCAAACTTAGCAGCAGTGTGCTTCTGTGAGCAAATGAATTGAAAACTATCATTCTATTTCGTCTTACCAACTTAGCACAGTGTGCTTCTGTGAGCAAATTTGATTTAAAACTATAGTTCTATTTCATCTTACCAACTTAAGCACAGTGTGCCTTCTGTGAGCAAATGATTAAAAACTATAGTTTTTATCGTCTTACCAACTTAGCACAGTGTGCTTTGCTGTGAGCAAATGATTGAAAACTATCATTCTATTTTTTTGTCTTAAACCAACTTAGGCACAATGTGGCTTCTGTGAGCAAATGATTGAAAACTATCATTCTATTTTCGTCTTACCAATTTAGCACAGTGTGCTTCTTTTGAGCAAATGATTGAAAACTATCATTCTATTTCGTCTTAAACAATTTAGCACAGTGTGCTTCTGTGAGTAAATGATTGAAAAGCTATCACCGTCTAACACTAACTTAGCACAGTGTGTTCTGTGAGCAAATGATGAAAACTACATGTATCATTCTATTTCGTCTTACAAATTAGCACAGTGTGCTTCTGTGAGCAAACATGATTTAAAAACTATAGTTCTATTTTCGTCTTACCAACTTAACACAGAGTGCTTCTGTGAGCAAATGATTAAAAACTATAGTTCTTTTTCGTACCAACTTAAGCAACAGTGTGCTTGCTGTGACAAATGATTGACAAACTATCATTCTATTTCGTCTTACCAACTTAAGCAACAGTGTTGCTTCTGTGAGCCAAATGATTGAAAACTATCATTCTATTTCGTCTTACCAACTTAGCACAGTGTGCTTCTGTGAGCAAATGAGTGAAAACTACCATTCTATTTCGTCTTACCAACTTAGCACTTAGCACAGTGTGCTTCTGTGAGCAAATGATTGAAAACTATCATTCTATTTCGTCTTACCAACTTAGCACAGTGTGCTTCTGTGAGCAAATGATTGAAAACTATCATTCTATTTTGTCTTACCAACTTAGCACAGTGTGCTTCTGTGAGCAAATGATTTAAAACTATAGTTCTATTTCGTCTTACCAACTTAACACAGTGTGCTTCTGTGAGCAAATGATTAAAAACTATAGTTCTTTTTCGTCTTACCAACTTAGCACAGTGTGCTTGCTGTGAGCAAATGATTGAAAACTATCATTCTATTTCGTCTTACCAACTTAGCACAGTGTGCTTCTGTGAGCAAATGATTGAAAACTATCATTCTATTTCATCTTACCAACTTAGCACAGTGTGCTTCTGTGAGCAAATGATTGAAAACTATCATTCTATTTCATCCTACCAATTTAGCACAGTGTGCTTCTGTGAGCAAATGATTGAAAACTATCATTCTATTTCATCTTACCAATTAGCACAGTGTGCTTCTGTGAGCAAATTATTAAAAACTATAGTTCTATTTCCTCTTACCAACTTAGCACAGTGTGCTTCTGTGAGCAAATGATTGAAAACTATCATTCTATTTCATCTTACCAACTTAGCACAGTGTGCTTCTGTGAGCAAATGATTGAAAACTATCATTCTATTTCGTCTTACCAATTTAGCACAGTGTGCTTCTGTGAGCAAATGATTAAAGACTATAGTTCTATTTCGTCTTACCAATTTAGCACAGTGTGCTTCTGTGAGCAAATGATTTGAAAACTATAGTTTTATTTGTCTATCATTCTATTTCGTCTTACCAATTTAGCACAGTGTGCTTCTATGAGCAAATGATTTGAAAACTATAGTTTTATTTTGTCTTTAAAGAAGCTGTCCAACTTGCTGGTAGAGGTCTTTGCTCCTTGGTCCATATATTTTTCTCCTCAAATAAACCATGAAAATCATGTAATACCCTAGGTAGCACTAGTATAACTTAAAATTAACACTAGACAAGAAAACTTAATGTAGGAAATTACATATATATTGTGACTTTTTCAATAAACCTCAAAATACATTTGGATTGAGATAATTATTTTTCAGCTTTTAATTTGAACAGTTGTTTGATGGCTTTGATTTTACTCAAAATATCATTATATTGACCTGATTCCTTTACAGGCTGCCAGACTAGCCATGGAGCGTGGTTGGGGTATAAATATTGGTGGAGGTTTTCACCACTGCTCTTCAGAAAAGGGAGGAGGATTTTGTGCATATGCAGATATAACGCTGGCAGTCAAATTCCTTTTTGCAAATAATAAAGAAAAAATAATGAAGGCCATGATTGTTGACTTGGATGCACACCAGGTTTGTGATTTCTTGGTTATTTGACAAAATTTGTTACAATTTATATTCCAGCCATGAGTCTCTGATATGTTGACTGGCAAATACTTCTTATATACCCCCATTTAAAAAGTGGGGTGCATACTTTAATAGTGTGGTTCATTGTAATACATGTATATCCTTTTAGCCTTGTCCAATCCATGACAGATAACCCCTATGGACTTTGAGGAAATTAGGTAGAGACCAAGGGCTCAGTGCCACCTTGTAAAAATATGTTGTCTGATCAATAATTATACCCCCACAAACGAAGTTTAGGGGGGGTATATAGGAGTCAGCTTGTCGGTCGGTCGGTTGGTCGGTCGGTCCACATCATGGTTTCCGGACGATAACTAGAGTTTGGAATGAGGTATTGTAATCAAACTTGGTATATAGCAACCTTATGTGGAAAATCCGGTTGGTATTGCATTTGGACCCCCTGGGGTCAAGATCAAGGTCACCGTTACTAAAAATAGAAAAATGGTTTCCGGACAATAACTAGAGTTAGGAATGAGATATTGTTATCAAACTTTGCGTATAGCAAGCTTATGTGAAGACCTTGGTTGGTATTGCATTTAGGCACCCTGGGGTCAAGGTCAAGGTCATGGTTACTAAAAATAGAAAAATGGTTTCCGGACAATAACTTGAGTTAGGTATGAGATATTGTAATCAAACTTGGTGTATAGCAAGCTTATGTGAAGACCTGGGTTGGTATTGTATTTGGACCCCCTGGGGTCAAGGTCAAGGTCACTGTTACTAAAAATAGAAAAAATAGTTTTTCCAGACAATAACTAGAGTTAGGAATGAGATCTTGATATCAAACTTGGTGTATAGCAAGCTTATATGAAGACCTGGGTTGGTATTGCATTTGGACCCCCTGGGGTCAAGGTCAAGGTCACCGTTACTAAAAATAGAAAAATGGTTTCCGGACAATAACTAGAGTTAGGAATGAGATATTGTTATCAAACTTTGCGTATAGCAAGCTTATGTGAAGACCTGGGTTGGTATTGCATTTAGGCCCCCTGGGGTCAAGGTCAAGGTCATGGTTACTAAAAATAGAAAAATGGTTTCCGGACAATAACTTGAGTTAGGAATGAGATATTGTATCAAACTTGGTGTATAGCAAGCTTATATGAAGACCTGGGTTGGTGTTGTATTTGGACCCCCTGGGGTCAAGGTCACTGTTACTAAAAATAGAAAAAATAGTTTCCGGACAATAACTAGAGTTAGGAATGAGATCTTGATATCAAACTTGGTGTATAGCAAGCTTATATGAAGACCTGGGTTGGTATTGCATTTGGACCCCCTGGGGTCAAGGTCACCGTTACTAAAAATAGAAAAATGGTTTCCGGACAATAACTTGAGTTAGAAATGAGATATTGTAATCAAACTTGGTGTATAGCAAGCTTATATGAAGACCTGGGTTGGTATTGTTTTTGGACCCCCTGGGGTCAAGGTCAAGGTTACTAAAAAATAGAAAAATGGTTTCCGGACAATAACTAGAGTTAGGAATGAGATATTGTTATCAAACTTGGTGTATAGCAAGCTTATATGAAGACCTGGGTTGGTATTGCATTTGGACCCCCTTGGGTCAAGGTCAAGGTCACCATTCCTAAAAATAGAAAAATGGTTTCCGGACAATAACTAGAGTTAGGAATGAGATATTGTAATCAAACTTTGTGAAAAGCAAGCATATTTGGAGACCCCAGTTGGGATTACAATTAATTGAAATATTTCTTTGTACACAGTTGATAGTTTGTGTTGAAATTTTTCTTCAGACTACTTATTTTTCAAAAAGTTGCTGGTGGGGGTATTAATCACCTTCAGTGATAGGTCTAGTTTGAGAGGGAATAAGCCTTTTGTGAAAGGCAAATAAAGTAAAAAAATAAATTGATAAGTAAATGAACTCTGCAAGGCTGAGTAGGCAAATAAAGTAGGAACATAAGTATGGAAACATTTCTAGTTCTCATTTTGATAAGTTAATATTGATGATGGTCAAAAATTGGCAAAACATTATTTATCACTTATGTACAGTTGACTCTCAATAAGTCAAAATCGCTTTACTAAAAATTCTGCATAAGTCTAAGAATTTCTAAAGTCCCGTCAAATTTCCTTCTTTATCTTTGTATTTTAACTCCGCTTAGGTCAAATTTTGACTTACCAAGACTCCTGTTTAGTAGAAAAAAGAAAATTTGGTTCCATCAATTAAAGTCCAACATATTTTCATCTAAATTAGTCGAAGTGTGAAAACAGCCAACTGATCAAAGGTCGGCGACATCAAGGTGAGATGTTGTCACTTGTGATTCACACGTTTCATAGTAATTTTAATTGCCGGTCATCATGTATTATTAACACGTCGTGTAAGTGGCTTTAATCGGTTTCAGGACTTAATTGGTTTTAACAGTTAGATAACTAAACCACGTCCAACTATCAAGTCTGCTATGAATGTTTGTGATATTTTGTGTCAGTTTTTAGAAACTTGTAAAAATACAGAGAATTTAATTGCTGCTGTTGATAAGGTGAATAATTTTGTCACAAACGCCCATTTACATAAACAGTTTACCAAGCAGACTAGTCTTACACATTTCTTTAAACATGTGCTTTACTGATGAAAACTGACAAACTTGCATTTATGTCATTGCTACGAATGTTTGTATTCATGTTTCACTATTAATATACATGTAATCAATTTTGAATAATATAATTTTGTTCATTTATAATTTGATGTTGTACATGTAAGTGATTTACCATCATTTCAACGGTTAAATATTGCAGCATTGCCGCTATCAACAGTAACAAACATACTTCTTTGCACATTCAATCAAGCACATGTATATACATGTACGAATGTCAACGTAATGGCTGGAGATCCACGTTACTCGAATTCCGTTTCTCTCTAAGTAAAAGGCCCAGTCCCTTGGATTTTGAGTTACTGAGAGTCAACTGTACTTAAATGAAATTTATTTTGATGACTTCAATATTATACAGAAATTTGAAGGAATGATTTTTTGTATTTTACAGGGCAATGGTCATGAGAGAGATTTTATGAATGATGACAGTGTATATATAATGGATGTATATAACAGAGGAATTTATCCGCATGACGGATATGCCAAACGTATGTATATTAAGAATAAAAAGCTTTATTTAACAGGGTAATAAATTAAAGTCTTAAAAACTTTACTTGGAAATAAAAAAAAGGACAGGCTCACTGTCACTGGTCTATTGAATAAGTCAGGTGAAGTGAAACATAAGCAATGTTAAAAAAAGGTGTCATAAATAAGATTCTTAGTGATACCTTAAAGAGTATGGGAAAGGTTCAAAGGTTTGTTTGTTATTCCAGGTGCCATAAAGAAGAAAGTTGAGTTAACTCATGGTACAGCTGATAAGGAATATCTGGAAAAAGTAGAAAAGTAAGTTGTTCAGATCCATTGCATTATACTTGGAAGACCTATTATTATTGTCAAATTGTTAAAGAAATAATGAACGCTGCAAGGCTGAGTAGGTACATGTAAGGTTATTTACTTATTGTTGTACATGTAAGGTTATTTACTTATTGTTTACTCACTCATGTGTCTCTGACTGATGTACTATATTTTGACCTCCAACAAACATAGTTTGGGGTAGGGGGCACTATATAGGAATCACTTTGTCCCGTCCCATCTCATTTTGGGAACCAGTAGAGATATCAACTTGATAACTTGGCACAACAAAGCAATATCACAATGCAACCTTCTATGATAAGTTTCATAACTCTTTTAGCAAGGCAATTAATTGTAATTATTATTGGTACACACAAATGAAACATCATGAAATATATAAGTCTTGTTTGGTTCGGACAACTTAATTTTCAAATAGTGGATAGGAGAAGGTATCAACTTCAGTGATAGTTTTGGGTTTACCTGTCCTTATTGAGTACAAGAACAACCTGAATGCTAAAGTTTTTTTATCTGAGGAAGCTGTCCAGAGTGATTAGTTGATCCTTCTATTTTTGTTATTGAAAAGAAATCTCTTTCTTCAACAGTGAATCTTCCAAGTTATCAAACAAATTTGACATTATTTGTTTTTTTTTTAAATTTTATATTTCAATTTTAAAACATCTCAATCTTTTTTCCTTCTATTCTTTTATTATCCAATTTATAATAAGTATAATTGACATAATTCTGTAGTATATTGGTCTTTGCTAAATTTAATCAGTGCTAATTCTGAGAATGAATAAAAGTCAGTTAATTGGAAAAGATAACTTTAGCATTTTAGAGATTTAGAATTTTTCACCCACACTTGTCATTATAAACTAAATATGATTTTTTTCCACCTTTGAACAGAAATTTAGATTCAGCATTAGATGATTTTAAACCAGATGTAATAGTATATAATGCAGGAACAGACATACTGGATGGAGATCCTCTTGGAAATCTGTCAATATCACCACAGGTTAGTGTCCTATATTTTGGTTTGTTTTCACACCAGGATTGGACACGGCCTTGTCCATTTTCGCCCTTCTTTAATCTATAGTAAATCTGTCACATTTAAAGCTTCATTATGGACTTCTATTAAACTCAGCAGAATTCTGTATTTCATAACTTTAAACATCAACACTAGACAAGTTAGTCGAAGCCCGAAATGTCCTATGTTAGCCATCTAGATTTCACAATATTTCTTAATTTGTTAAGTCACTGTCAAATTATCAAAGTTTCAAATGTCATGTATGCTGGGGTGTAGTACTTCTCGAATCCTTCCACCAAGAAATGAGATCCTGCAGAATACACAAAAAACAACTTGTAAAGTCATCAGAAATGACACTAAATGTACACTGTTACAATAAATACACTTAAAATGTAACCAGTCACATTAAAAATGACTTGAAATAGGGCACTTCAAAAATTTCAAAGAACTATTTTCTAGCCTACAACGGGCTGGGTCTAATTCCGTACCGGTTGAGACCTAAATGAATCCAAAATTTAAGTTAAGTCAAAATTTATACTCATTTTCCTAGTAATTTATTGTTATACAAGTACAATCATATAGGTTTGACATGTCTGTAACAAATAACATTAATGCAGTACAATTTCTTACATATGAAACTTCATGCGAAAAATCAGCCTCGGCCAATAGAATTTACGCAAAAATTTATATCACAAATTCTGTCATATCTTTTGATTTTGTAAATGGATTTTCTTCAAATAAAGTTAACTGTTACCGGCTAATGTCATTTAGTTATTTTTATGAAAGAATAAGCCCTTATTGCTTACAAATTTTAATAATAACTCCATTTATTTTAATGAGGGCATGAAATTTTGGGTTAAAGTACAAGTAATCACAATTAAATGTGCTTTTTTCATAACTTTTTCTTTCAATTTTGCAATAAAACTTACTGATTATGATTTTACCTATATAGCATGGTAAATAAAGTAAAGTACAAGATATATACCCTACAAATTGTTTGCTTAAGATATCAATAAAGACAAACAGAGGTAATCTTAAGTTTAGCAAAGAGGTTACCATATCCCCATGGGCTATGTCTTCTGACAAAGTAAGATTAACCAACTCTCACCCAAATAAGGCTAAAAAATGATTGCACATACTGTCTCCCACTTTAAATCATTGAAAAGTCTTAAAATAGTCAAAAATTAGAGAAATTTTCTCTGGATATACATCAAAAATATCTACCAAATATTGCCCGAGCATTGGGAATTGTTGCCGTCAATAGCTGAAGTTTCAAACTGGACATAAGTTATTACCTTCTCATCTTGTCCTGACAAATCTGCTGCCAAACTGAGCTGAAGGAGTTCTTCCATAGATCTTAACCAGTATATAAGGTAAGGTCACCCCGGCTTTGGTAACTGCATGGTCTGAAAAAAAATATGCAACACTAAAACATGTCGGAGGAAATTATAAGAGGCATTTGTGCTGTAATTTTGATATCAAAAAAAAGGAAGAAAAACATTTCTTAATTAATCAATGGCTCGATTTGCTAATTCACACAGGAGGGCTTAAATATTGTGTGCTTAAAATGCATGCCTGCATGGAAATAGCAGTTACGACATTATAAAGCTAACCTATTTTAACTGCTGTAGCAGCTGCTACAACAACAAGAACAATCACATCAACTGTTTTATAATTCTAAATGAGCCAATTATCCATAAACTACACTGTTTAATGACTAGACCATTTTTTGTGTGTATAAATTAGCAATTATATACATTCTGCAACACAGCAAAACATCAAGATTCACTACACTGAAAATGCCTATATTTCCAACATGTAAATCACATGTGTCATGTTCAATTGTCAGTTCTGCTTCATTGAAATACAAGACACTAGTGAATATTTACAATCTGATTACTACAGCATCAACTCTTTGCTGAAACATCAGTGCATATAATGTGTGGTCCATATGAGCAATAGGCTACTATGGTGCTTGTTCGAATCCCATGGCCGGTGCCTAAGACCTCTGGAATGAGCTTGCCAATCACCTTTTTGCCAATGTAACCAGCCTGAAAACATGCACTCCCCAATTCCTTGCTATGCATGGTTTATCCATAATTTAAAATGCATTTCTCTAAAAAAAATATCATTTTCTATATAAATCTTATAAAAATAAGCTATAGAGCTAGTAAATTGCTAAACACAGGGTGCAAAAATAAAATTTACCAATTTATTAACTGCTTAAAAAAAAATTAAATTTCATTTTTTAATTTTAAATTCATTTTTACAGTTTTAATTCAATAAAATGTGGTTAATCCTTCATGCAAAAGCTCTGCACCCTTCTTCTGCACTTATTCAGACACAGTAGCAGACATCTACATTTGAAGGGGAGACAACAATAACAACATCTGTCCCAATTTAAAATGTCAAAATTTAAAATTTGAAATAAAATTTAAATTTTTCAAACCTGTCAGTTATCCTTTATTTTCCTGATTTCTATTCATAAATACAACACTGATGCAAAGTTTCATCCATATCCATCAACCAGTTCCCATTTTTCATATTTCTTATTTAGGACACGGCCTTGTCCATTTTCGCCCTTCTTTAATCTATAGTAAATCTGTCACATTTAAAGCTTCATTATGGACTTCTATTAAACTCAGCAGAATTCTGTATTTCATAACTTTAAACATCAACACTAGACAAGTTAGTCGAAGCCCGAAATGTCCTATGTTAGCCATCTAGATTTCACAATATTTCTTAATTTGTTAAGTCACTGTCAAATTATCAAAGTTTCAAATGTCATGTATGCTGGCGTGTAGTACTTCTCGAATCCTTCCACCAAGAAATGAGATCCTGCAGAATACACAAAAAACAACTTGTAAAGTCATCAGAAATGACACTAAATGTACACTGTTACAATAAATACACTTAAAATGTAACCAGTCACATTAAAAATGACTTGAAATAGGGCACTTCAAAATTTCAAAGAACTATTTTCTAGCCTACAACGGGCTGGGTCTAATTCCGTACCGGGTTGAGACCGATTATCATTATTTCAGTTGTAACTTCATGTGTAATGTATCAATTTAGCAACAGTTACATAGCACTACTACCTTCAAAAAAGTAGATTTAATCTATTATGACTTCCAAAATTAGCTAGGTGAAATTTTGAAAATGTAATGTGATTGAAATTCAGAGTTTTTAGTTTTTCAGGAAGTAAAAGTTATAAATTGACATTTGACCTTTAAAGTTTTGCTTATCTTACTAATCAATGAAAAAAAGAATTTACTGTGGTTCTAGAATGAACAATTGTATATAACTTTAGGGGATCATTGACAGAGATGAAATTGTTTTTCGGAAAGCAAATGAAAAAGGAATTCCTATAGTCATGGTAACCAGTGGAGGATACCAGCGAAGTACAGCTCAAATAATAGCGAATTCGATCCTCAATCTTCGCGCTAAAGGCCTTATCAAGTGTGCGGCAGCTGAAAAAAGTCCGGAACCGGTGACAGGTTGTTCGTAGGTGTTGTTTGGTATCTTATTTTGTTTTGTGATTTTGTTTTGTCAGTAATTCTTGTATTTTTTTCAGTCTCAGCGCATTTTTATCTTTTCTTTTTAAATTTCACTCTTTTTTATCTAGTTTCGCATAGGTCAGTGATTTTACTCAAGTTCCCACTTGCTCCCGAAGTAATGCTAGGACGGGATTTCATGATCACCAGTATGGCAGTATAACTAGAAAATAACTATATGACCTTAAAAAGTATATTGGTTTGACCAAATACCAAGCAAAAGTAAGACATTCTAAAAAAAACAATCTGTGAATAAAGAATTCTTTTTTCAAGTTCTCTGGACTTGTCATAAATTTGTCTTTACTGTATTATAAACTCTTAACTTTACAATACTTGTGTCATTTGATGTTTTCTGCCCAGTTATTTTGTGCTTTATTGTAAATCTGTCATCAAACAGGAGAATTTTAAATGACCCCTTTTTAGATGTAGTTTTGTATGTCTATCTTATATACAATGATAAGTAGAACAAAAACTAACACAATTTTAAATATCAAAACATGTTTCACTTAATTAGCTTCGTCGGTTGATAAATAACAAAGGAAATGACAAAAACATACCAAACAAATGTCTATGTTAAAAGATGCCACATTTGGCGCAGTAAAAGAAACATTATAATATTGTTATAAAATAAATAGTCTATTATATTATCTTTTGTACTAAAATGCTTTTTACGGTGACATTTTGGTCTAACCCTTGGAGAATGGCTTCATTGAGCACTTAGTAGGCTGTTGAAAGACTAGTTAAAGGGAGATCTTTGGTTCTTCTGCTGCCTGACCAAACATAGTTCTATAGTGAAATAAGTTTTTAGATTTTTTTTAAAATTTCATTTAATATTTTTATCAACCAAGTTCTGCCCTGTTATGGTATAACAAAAACTTCCTGAATATTTAGTCAAGTACATGTAATTTCTTTGAATAAATAAGTACATTAAAATAAATTCAGTCATTATTATTTGTACACTTGACAATATCTCTCATTACAACTATTCCTAAGTTTTCAGAAAAAATATATAAAAATTAGCACTAGTCTGATGGCAAGTTGATTTAAAGAAATGATGTTTTCTTAATGTCTAAGCTCCTGTCACGCACTATGCTCTGAAAGTTGTTAGTTAGAAAGCTCCTCAACACTTTATTTCTTTACTGCACATTTAATTTATATTTCTATATAATCTTTGATTTTATTTATTCAGTATTCTATACTAATCAAGATTTATAGATTGTTAGCAAAAATTGATAAAAACTTTACAATTCTAAAGGTTTGCAATTGACTTGATTCTCCTGCAATTAGCTGTTAATATTGAGGATTTTTTTTGTAATTAAAATACTAAAAATTCAGCAGACAACAGTGTAGAGACTGGTCATGTTGCAAGCGGTGCAAGTATGTGCAGGCTAGACTTGTTCAGTACTACTGAAATAGGCATGTCATTATGAGTGAGACTAATTAAAGCCAAGTTGGAGCACCACACTAAATATCGAATTCTGGTATATCCTGAATGTTTATATATGTTATACTTGAATGTTTAAATGTTAAAATCTCACCTTTTCACTCACTGAAATGCACATTAAGAAGGTTAATTCATCTCCTCACATTAGTTTGTGAATGAAAAATATAAGAATCACCAGAAAAAAAGTGATAATTTTCTACTTGTGATCATAATTTCTGTCGAGCGTTTATAGGTACTGCTCCAAGACTGTAGTGAGTTAAATCAGTATCCCCTATCATAATTATCCTATACATTTAATATGTTTAAACATATGTTGAGATTACAAGTAAAGTTAAAGGAAAATTTGCTTGAAAAGTAATTGTTTTATTTGCATACAGGTACATAAGTTACACAATAAGGCACACTCATCATTGAATTTATATTTTACAGCTTGAAGTCTAAATGTTAGGACACATGATAATGTAAATAAAGAATCAAGATAAAGGGTGTGTAACATTTGTTTACATGCTAATTGGTTGGATATGCTTTTAGTTTAGATGCATTAATTTTTTTGTACGTTTGTATCTTATTAAGGATTACTTTTAATTAAATACAACGTAAAGTAATTATTTTTAATTGGTATCTGTTATAATAATCAAGTAGCTGGTACTTAATATTTCCCATTATGTTTGTACAATAAAATCATTTGCATCAAAAACTGGTAAGCACTGATCTGAAAGCAATAACTATTTTAATCAAGTCCTCTCTTTATGTTGTTTTGGCCTTGTCAATTATCAATACTTACGACATTAGTTTAAGTGATGTCAGTATTATTTCATTGTACTCTAAAGTTAAGCATCTAACAGTATAGTCTCAAAAGTTGCACAGACATGCAGAGTTGTCTGACTCTATACTAGAAGTATAGGCAGGTCATTAACACACTTGCTGTAATATCACAACTTATATAATGGAGAATGACAGTCACATGAAAGTGACTAAGAACAGGAAGCATTTTGATTGATTCATTTTAAACTGAGTCCCAGAATCAGCCAATCAAAAGTTGCAGTTTCAGATTTGTTTACGAGTTGTAAATTTTACATTGGTTGACTTTAGAAACAGGATGACCAAAATGAAAGATGAAAAATTGCATCATTTATATTTTAGTGAATTCAAATTATTAAAAAAAAAACAAGAGGGCCATGATGGCCCTGAAGTCGCTCACCTGTACATAGGCCCCCGGAGCGGGGCCAGTTTAAAGCCCGGGGCTTTTATTTGAACTAACTTGGTAGACAACCATTAGAAGATGTTTCATGCTAAACATCTAAGGTCTAGCTCGTTGGGATTTTTAAAAGAAGATTTTTTTAAGTTTTTTCTTTACACATATAGTTAAAAACAATGACACACCTGGGGCAGGGCCAGTTTTGACCCCAGGGCTTTTATTTGTTCAATCTTTGTATACACTTACTAGAAAATGTTTCATGCTTAATATCTAAACTCTAGCTATTCGGGTTTTTTCAAAGAAGATTTTTAAGTTTTTACTATACTCGTATAAGGAAAATCAATGTCCCCCGGGGCGGGGCCAATTTTGACTCCAGGGCTTTTATTTGAACAAACTTTGAAAACACTCACTAGAAGATGCTTCGTGCTTAATATCTAAACTCTAGCTATTTGAGTTTTTTCAAAGAAGATTTTTCAATTTTTGCTATAGTTTTACACATATAGGAAAAATGAATGACCTCCGGGGTGGGGCCAATTTTGACCCCAGAGCTTTTATTTAAACAAACTTTGTAAACACCCATTAGAAGATGTTTCATGCTAAATATCTTAGCTCTAGCTATTTGGTTGTTTCCAAAGAAGATTTTTTAAGTTTTTACTATACACATATAAGGAAATTTGGAAAATCAATGACCCCCAGGGCCGGGCCAATTTTGACCCCAGGGCTCTTATTTGAACAAACTGTGTAGACATCCATTAGAAGATGTTTCATGCTAAATATCTTAGCTCTAGCTCTTTTGGTTCTTTATAAGAAGATTTTTTAAGTTTTTACTATATGTATATAGGGAAAATCAATGACCCCCTGGGGCGGGGCCAATTTTGACCCCAGGGCTTTTATTTGAACAAACTTGGTAGACACCCATTAGAACATGTTTCATGCTAAATATCTCAGCTCTAGCTCTTTGGGTTCTTTAAAAGAAGATTTTTTAAGTTTTTACTATATGTATATAGGGAAAATCAATGACCCCCTGGGGCGGGGCCAATTTTGACCCAAGTGCTTTTATTTGAACAAACTTGGTAGACATCCATTAGAAGATGTTTCATGCTAAATATCTTAGCTCAAGATCTTTTGGCTCTTTAAAAGAACCTTTTTTAAGTTTTTAGTATATACATATAGGGAAAATCAATGACCCCCTGGGGCGGGGCCAATTTTGACCCCAGGCTTTTATTTGAACAAACCTGGTAGACACCCATTAGAAGATGTTTCATGCTAAATATCTTAGCTCTAGCTCTTTGGGTTCTTTAAAAGAAGATTTTTTAAAGTTTTTACTATATGCATATAGGGAAAATCAATGACCCCCTGGGACGGGGCCAATTTTGACCCAAGGGCTTTTATTTGAACAAACTTGGTAGACACTCACCAGAAGATGTTTCATGCCAAAAATCTAAACTCTAGCTCTTTGGGTTTTTTAGAAGAAGATATTTTAAGTTTTTTCTTTTGGTTGCTATGGCAACTATAAAGTTGAAAATTATGAAATGTCATTTTACAGTTATGTCTATAAAGATTGAAAGCTCAACCTAAATTTCTTCATGTTAACATAGGAAAGAATTGTGACTATTAATTTCATAAAGTGATTGTTTGTATTTGCCAAGCTAAGAATTTGGAACATTCTAAATCACTTTCAATTTCATCAAGGTAAGGGTTAAATTGATACATAACAATCATAACATTTTTATATTGCATGATCTGTGACTGTTACTAATAGCTTCAAATAAATGTTTGCCTTTCTTTTGTTACAGAAAGAAGCTCAAAATGTCAGAGAAGTCAGAGTGATTTTGGATTATTTGCTAAACTAAAGAGTGTGTGTCTATCCAGCTCGGGCTCCAGTAGATCTGAGGTTCAAGCTGTACCAGGCGCTGGCGCCGGTCCAACATTGTCTCTGTCCAGTACTGATCTTTCGAAAGAAGAAAAACTGGATGAATTTTTTAGTAGCGATGTACCAGCTTCAAAATCCTGCTCAGACCTTTCATATTCATTCAAAGATGAGTCAGACATTGATATAGCTAGCTTACTTGATATGAAGTTTGGAAAAATAGGTGAAGCTGGGAAAGGAAAGAAGGAACAAAGTTGAATAAATATTTGAGAAAGAAAATGAGCAAATGATCCAATTTATAGGGGTTTTCTTTGGTGTTATTTTTTTTTATTTTTTTTTTTGGGCGGGGGGGGGGGGTGGGAAGAGGGTTGTTAAAATATTTTAAGAGTTTAAAGAAATAGAGCCTCTATTATGTTATATTTGGACATTAACATTCCTATTGATAGCATTCATTTAACCTTGAGCATGCAGTGTTTTGGTTTAAAATTATATTTAGTGGTTGTTTTTTCATTGTGTTGAATTGTTATCATTTTTGAAATACAGGATGGTTTAAGGTGAAGTTTAATTTTACCGTAAGACAGAGTAGATTGTCTATTATCAATAGTAATAACCTGTCTAGTATTAAAAGTATTAACCTTTCAGAAATTTGCATTTCTACTTCTTTTGCTTCTATAGTGAGTGGGAAAAATTGTATAAGTTTATGTCATGAATGAATGAAATAATCTTTACAACAGTTTGTGATTGGATTTTTCTTTCCAAAATAGCTGTTATTTGTCTGCTCATTTCCTTTTAATCTTGAAAATATTAATACAACATTTCATGAAAAAGTTTACAGACATATAGTTATACTGATTTACTAACATTTTACTGTAGAAACAGTGGATTAACCTTTAGTAAAATGTGTCCATGTTAACACCAAAGGCACCCTGTATGACAGCCAGTGTGATGGACATGCAGAAAGACATCTTATCTTAGCTGTTAAAATTTGCTATTTCTTTTGCTGAGCAACCTCAGACCAACATGGCCATTTTACTAAAAATGATCTATTTCTAATCTAATAATTTATGTAATATAGTCACATTTTAACTATAATAAGCCAACGTCTGCATATTTCCCTGCATAATCTTACTTCTATGTACATTGATTAAATACAAGTTATATTGATTGTATACATAATTTATTTTTGTTTGATTTTGTTGAAAGCTATTAGCTTATAGACACACCTGAATCCATTTCTGGAACCAGCCAGTAATAATAATTATTGTAAATTTTGTTGTTAAGAAAACAACTGCTTGCCCTGATGGGTTTTGTATCTGTGCGGCTAGGGATTGTTAGATTAGTCTAATAGTAGTGGCAAGGTGGTTAAGGTGTCTGCCTCTGAACACAGGAATTGTGCTCAAGCTTTACTTGGGTCATGACTGTGTTACTTCTTATGACACCATTACTGCTTTGTTCCAGGAAGCTGACTAGAGAGTTATTATTATAAATTGCAAAAACTTGTTTCGCAATCAAGCTTTAATAAATATGATTTAACTAATCAAACTTTTGCCACTTTTGATTGTTTTGAGATACGCAACTTCATTCTTTTTACAATTAAATGAAACTTGCCATACTTAATTAGATTATAGTCAACAAATTTTATTTTTTAAGTTTTCTAAATGATTGATGGTATGTCTGATGAACCTTGTATAAATATACATAGTATACATGTAGTATATAATTAACATGTGTATTCAAAGTATTGTTGATAGTGTGATTGTACCTAGTTAAATTTGAGTTTGTCATAATGTTTCTCATCAGGTTTCCATATAAAGGTGGGCCTTTTCACAATCTCTGAAGTTGTTCATTTAATCAGAGTTATTATTTTAGGTCAAAGACAAAGCCCTGTAACTCTAGCAAAGATTACCATTGAATTATTCCCCTTTATAAACTTGGAAAATAGTCTTGGTAAAAGTGATGTGTGAGAATTATATCTCTTGAACCACTTCAGGTTATCACTTGAAACTGAAATATGGTTAATATTGTACATCACTGAAGAAGACCCATAACTAAAGTATGAATTTACTCATCAAAAACAGTAGAGCATGCTGTCTTGGGATAGACTATTTTTACATTAGGCAATTGAAATGTAATGGAAAAGACAAACTCTAATTTACTGATAATTTTGTTTGTGTTTTAGTGCAATATTAACATTTTTTGTATTGTTTTGAAATAAAGTAGTAGTTTTGCTTTTGTTGTGTGTCAATTACTTTCTTCATACTCTTAAATTGTAGCACTGTTTTTATTCTGTATATTACATTTGTTAAATTAATACTGGGCAGCAGCATCTATGTAGGATTATTTTAATACACAGTCAATGTGAAAATAGGAAAAGCTCAATGCAGCTGTCAAGAATTACTTTTAAAAATTTATTTTTTCCTTTTTAGTAAAACAATTTCAGTACTTTTAGCTGTGTTTTGATATTTTATGTTATTGATTCCCTTTTTCAATTATTCAGTACTATGTGATAATCATTAAAGTACATGCATTGATTACTTTGCTTCTTTCATTTTGAATCTTTATACATGTGTATTTTGATGCAACTAAAAGAGTAGGTGTTGGAGTTGACCTCTATTTATTTTAAGGTCATTATGCCAAGGTCAAATGTAACAATAAAATACTGGTCTATTCTACAAGTCATAGGTTTTTAAAACTTATTAGTTATAATACTAACCTGTATCATTATTTCTCTTTGTTATTAATATAACACTTAGCTTTCATATAATTAGCATAAGTATGTTAATAAACCACCGTGACAGAAAAAGTTTGGGCACAAGTGTCCTGGTTTTGAAACACTCATTGCCTTTAATCAAAATTTAGTGTCTGACAAGATATATGAATTATTTTGAAGTTTTTTGTGCCCCCACGTTAGTGGCGGGCATTTAGATTTACCCTTCTCCGTCTGTCTGTCTGTCCATCCTTCCGTCCGTTCACTTTTGTGTCGCACATAACTCAAAAAGTATTTGACCTAGAGTCATGAAACTTTACAGGAATGTTGATCAGCATGTGTAGTTGTGCACCTGGGTATTTTCGTCTGGATATTTTTAGTATTTTCAGAATTATTGCCCTTGACTTAGTAAAATTTTGCAATTTTCAACATGTGTCGCACGTAACTCAAAAAGTATTTGACCTAGAGTCATGTTACTTTACAGGAATATTGATCAGCATGTGCAGTTGTGCACCAGGTATTTTCTTTTGGATTTATTTAGTATTTTTAGAGTTATTGCCCTTCACTTAGAAAATTTTTGCAATTTTCAACTTGTGTCGCATGTAACTCAAAAAGGATTTGACATAGTCATTAAACCTTATGGGCAGGTTGCTCAGCATATTTAGATTTGCACCTGGGGTTTCGCTTGTGGATTTATCCAGTATTTGTAGAGTTATTTCCCTTCACTTAGTAAAAAGATTGACAGAACAGTGGCGCGGTGGGGGCAGTCGTGTCCTATGGACACATTTCTAGTGTTTTTAGCTCACCTGTCACAAAGTGACAGGGTGAGCTTTTGTGATCGCTTTTCGTCCGGCGTCCGTCGTCCGTAAACTTTTACTTTAAATGACATCTCCTCATAAACCACAAGGCCAATTTCATCCAAACTTCACAGGAATGTTCCTTTGGTGGTCACCTTTAAAAATTGTTCAAAGAATTTAATTCCATGCAGAACTCTGGTTGCCATGGCAACCTAAAGAAAAAAAAAACTTTAAATATCTTCTTTTAAAAAACCATAAGAGCTAGAGCTTAGATATTTGGCATAAAACATCTTCTAGTGAGTGTCTACCAAGTTTGTTCAAATAAAAGCCCTGGGGTCAAAATTGGCCCCGCCCCGGGGGGTCATTGATTTTCCCTATATGCATAAAGTAAAAACTTAAAAAATCTTCTTTTAAAGAACTCAAAGAGCTATGGCTAAGATATTGAGCATCAAACATGTTCTAATAGGTGTCTACCAAGTTTGTTAAAAAAAAAGCCCTGGGGTCAAAATTGGCCCCGCCCCAGGGGGTCATTGATTTTCCCTATATGCATATAGTAAAAACTTAAAAAATCTTCTTTTAAAGAACCAAAAGAGTTAGAGCTAAGATATTTAGCATGAAACATGTTCTAATAAGTGTCTACCAAGTTTGTTCAAATAAAAGCCCTGGGGTCAAAATTGACCCCGCCCCGGGGGGTCATTGATTTTCCCTATATATGCATATAGTAAAAACTTAAAAAATCTTCTTTTAAAGAACTCAAAGAGCTATGGTTAAGATATTTAGCATCAAACATGTTCTAATAGGTGTCTACCAAGTTTGTTCAAATAAAAGCCCTTGGGTCAAAATTGGTCCCGCCCCGGGGGTCATTGATTTTCCTTATATGTATATAGCAAAAACTTAAAAAATCTTTTTTGAAAAAACCCAAATAGCTAGAGTTAAGATATTAAGCATGAAACATCTTTTAGTGAGTGTCTACAAAGTTTGTTCAAATGAAAGACCTGGGGTCAAAATTGGCCCCGCCGCGGGGTCATTGATTTTCCTTATATGTGTATAGCAAAAACTTAAAAAATCTTTTTTGAAAAAACCCAAATAGCTAGAGTTTAGATATTTAGCATGAAACATATTCTAGTAAGTGTCTACAAAGTTTGTTCAAATAAAAACCCTGGGGTCATAACTGGCCCGGCCCCAGGGATGTCATTGTTTTTAACTATATGTGTATAGTAAAAACTTTTAAAAAATCTTCTTTTAAATAGCCCATTGAGCTAGAGCTTAGATGTTTAGCATGAAACATCTTCTTATGGGTGTCTACCAAGTTTGTGCAAATAAAAGCCCTTTGGTTAAATTGGCCCTGCAACGTTTGAGGGGGGGGGGGGTTGGGTAGGGGGGCCTATATACAGGTGAGCGACCTCAGGGCCATCATGGCCCTCTTGTTGTTTTTTTTTTGTCATTTACAATGAATATTATTTCCACTCTATATCTATGTGTTAATCTCGAGTTTATTCAGTGGTAATGTTGTTTAAAATTTCTAAAGTATTTCTAGTGTTCTTGAACATAATATCATCATGGTGTTATCTTAGTTGTACTTTCTCTTGCTATATTTGATAAATATACATGTATATCCAACTGGATTCTTTGTATGAAATATTTATTTTATCTCACAGATATTGCTTACTTTTTCTGTTTTTGACTTATTTGACAAAGTACATGTATTTCAGTATGAATTTGTTTATGGAAGATTGAAAAAATAAATCATTTGATATTGATAAAAGTTGAATTACAGTTTTTTTTTCCCCACCATACTTAATGCATAGCAGTTTAGGTATACTTGTAAAATATTCAAGTTTTAATCAATATCATACAGTAGTTTAAGTCTTAAAGTATATCCAGTGGTGAGAGGGTCTGATACCCCAATACTCCTATGAAGTATTTCAGGGTATCATGTAATGGTGCTTTATTGCCCTGTGTTTAATAGAAACAGGTGTTTCGTCTTGAATGGAGTAATTTCTGTGTAAGTTGGCTCCATAAATTACATATACTAGCATTCCTGTGGAGTGGGTTGCTCATATGTTTCCATTGGTGATTATCAATACTGTTAGCTCAACACTAATTTAGGCTGGACTTTCTATTCAATTTCAAAATACATTGTATTAGAATTTAGCAGCTAACAATATGTTCTGACTGTACTATAAAAACTGGTCTGATTTTTAGCTAGACTATACGAAGTATATGGAGAGCTGTCCTACTCGCCCCGGCGTCGGCGTCCAGATTTTAGTTTTGGTGCAGTAAAATATTTTTCACTATAACTTTGTCATTTCTTAAGGTATCAACTTCAAACTTCAAATATATGTTCCTTATCATCAACCACATCATATGTGACAAGGTTCATAACTCTAGCACCAATATTTTCAGATTTATCTCCCCTTGAACTTAGAATTTTCCTTAAAAAATACTATTTTTTACTGTTACTTCCTTATTTCTTAAGGGATCAACCTCATACTTCAAATATATGTACCTTATCATCATCCCCATCTTATGTGACAAGGTTCATAACTCTAGCACCAATATTTTCAGATTTATCTCCCCTTGAACTTAGAATTTTCCTCAAAAAGTACTATTTCTTACTGTTTCTTCTTTATTTCTTAAGGGATCAACCTCATACTTCAAATGTATTTACCTTATCATCATCCCCATCTTATGTGACAAGGTTCATAACTCTAGCACCAATATTTTCAGATTTATCTCCCTTTGAACTTAGAATATTCCATAAAAAATATATTTTTTTACTGTTACTTATTTATTTCTAAAGGGATCAACTTCATACTTCAAATATGTTTACGTTATCATCATCCACATCTTATGTGACAAGGTTCATAACTCTAGCACCAATATTGCAAGAATTATCTCCCCATAAACTTAGATTTTTTTACTAGAAAAATGTTATTTTTTATTATAACTTTTTTATATTTAAAGGTATCTACCTCAAATTTCAAATACTTATTCCTTATCAACAATTACATTTTATGTGACATTGTTCATAACTCTTGATGCAATATTTACAGATTTATCTCTCTTTGAACTTAGGATTTTCTTTAAGAAATATAATAACTTCTTTTCTTTTTAAGGTATCTACTTCAAACTTCAAATATATATTTCTTATCATTACACAAATGTTGTGTGACAAGGTCCATAACTCTAGCATGACTATTTCTAGAATTATTCCCCTTGATCTTGGAATTTATGTTAACAAATATTATTTTTTTACTTAATACATAATTATACACAATTGATTTTTCTTTCATAGTTTTGTCCTTACTGCGTCCAGTATTTTATTAGTCGAGCTTTGCTGTCTCCTGTGACAGCTCTTGTTATTCTGGTAGAAAAGGCAAAGTTATTCTTACCTTTACATGACATTCAAAGAGTTGAATTATCAGAAAATGTCATCAAGCCTGATTTTGTTTTTTCATGATCATATTAAGCTTATGTTTGAAATGTTTAAAACTTCCTATCTGCAATAACACCAACTTTGGGATATGATTTAGTTATTTTAAGGTAAATAACAATAATAACTGGATCAGGATCAATATTATAATTATCTAGATTAACTTTGGAAAACATATTTTTTATAAATGTATGCAAGATATCCTTCTAAAATTCCATTATCTTATGTAATTTTAAATCCATTTTCAAGATACTACACATTGTTTACTTTGGAAGAATTTTGACACCAATGTGATTGTGAACCAATTTTGTACATGGGGACTCAAATATTTTATTTCAAAATTAAAACGAACAATACTTTTCATTTTCTCATCATTCAGCTTTATTTAACATGAACAATTACTCTCACAGTTACCATGGCAACAGACAAAAATAAGAACAAAATTAATACAGAAAAAAGTCACAGTAATAAGAAAAAAACAGCAATGCATAAAGAGCAAGTTGTAAAATAGTAGCACTTCTACTTCATAAAGTACAGCATGTTAAGTATATACATGATTTTTTCTTTTTTCTGAAAACTTTCATAAAATATTTACATAGAATCTAGAACAATGTCTATTACTTTCTACCTCATATTTAGGCTTCCGACAAAAATTGGGTTATAAAAAGATTCTGAGAAACTGATGTGCAAAGATGAAATTATAAATATAGACATTAATGTTGAACTTAATTTAATATCTAAGAATAGAAAAATTTTGGTACATGAAGACAGTTTGGTGATAACATAAAGCACTTTATTCCTTCATTTTCTACTTATTTCTTACAATTCATAAAACATTCTACGAAATGTACGAGGTTAATTAGTTCAATGTAATGCCACACAATTTCCAGCTGGTTTTTGTAAAAATAGTTAGATATTCAAATTTAATCAATGTTTCATAAAATAGGTAAAAAGAGAGCAGTACATGTAACTAGTTTTACAAATGTAAATACTAAATCGTCTTTTCTTTGAAATACATGTACTATATTATTTTAACAAAATTCAAAAAACTTACCAAAATGCATTAATATTAATTTTTATTCATGAAAAATTTGAAGAAAAAAATGTATGTCCCCATGTCTGAGCACTATATGTTCATTTCTTTCTCATTTCTGTAACTTGAAAAATAAATTGTTAAGTGAAACAGGTATCAGGAGACTACTAAATACAGACGTGAATAACAATAATCATTTAGCAGAAACATGTCTTCGTAACAATTTAATATTGGCGAAACATTAGTCTCATGCAAAAAATAATTATGAGGATATTTTTCACCTTTTACACCTTGCATATATACATAGCATTTTTACATGTAACTGTTCAGACAAAACTAAACCCTTCTACACTTTTGTTAGAAATTGATAGTAATTGATAATTCTGATCAGAAATAAATGTTATCTTAGCTTATTAAGCAAAGACTGAAACTTATGCTCATTTGTTAATTAAAAGTCCCTCCTTGTAGAAAAGCTACAACTTCTATGTGCAAATAAGTCTAAAGGGTAAGTATTAATTTTCATTAACATTATGCATATATTCAACTTGCTAATTACAAATGGAATTTCCCTCATGTGATGTCAATACAAAACTGAAATGACCTATTAGAAATGAAAAACAGGAACATTTTTAATGTTGCCACTAAATATATTTTTGAGAGGAGTGTGGAGCAAGAAACATCCCCCCCCCCACTATTGAAATGAAATATACTTTTGTATTAATTATAAAAAGATACACTTTTTAATATGCACCTTCAAAAATTGGGATAATGTCCTGGCAACTATATAAATCAGACATATTGCACACAAGTTGAAAATGGGGACTACCTGAGCCATTGAAAACCTTTACATGTAAAGTATTATTAAACTATCTAAAGACTTGGTAACGCGACGGTTGGCCTAGCAGTGTATCAGACTTGTTTGGGGGTCAAAGACTTGCTTTTAGGGCAAAGACTTAATAGGAGGTCTAAGACCTTTTTAGAAGTCAAAAACCTTGTTTGGAGCTCAAATACTTGCTTTTAAAAAGGGCAAATGCTTGTTTTTAGACAAACACTTTACTAAATGACTTGATTAGAAGTCAAAAACTTGTTAGGAGGTCAAAGAATTGCTTTTAAGGCAAAGGCTTTTTTCTAGGTCAAAGACTTGTTTAAAAGTCAAGACTTTTTCTAGGTCAATGATATGACATGCAGCAAGATCACACTAAAGACGGTTATAAACATTAAGATATGACTTTACTTTCTCTCTCAAAGGTCAGTATGACCATAACATTTCTACAAATTGGTCAGTAAGTTATCGTTATGTAATTGGCCACTATGTATACGGCATGACATTTCAGTGAGGTCAAATCAATTAATGGAAGAATACAAACACAATTATATAAAATTTTGGGCAACTCAACCAAGCTAATACTACTGAACAAAATAATACAATCTGTTTTAATTTCAAGATTTTTAACTTTCTAGATCGTAAATGGTGTAAAAGCTGTTATAAATGTTACACATCTGTAACAATCCTGTAAAAATATTATTTTCTAATCATCTTAAAAATGAAACATCTTAAAAATACCAAATATATTCTGGAGATTAGCACTCTAAAAGTCTTACATGATTTATTGACAGATGGTGAATGTAAAGAAATGGAGAAAAGTTTGAGATAACATGGCAAATTTCTTAACAACCTTGTAAACTCATAGTCAACATTTACTTCTCAAAAAAAAATATCTACATCAAAGACAATATGCTAAAAGGAATACATTTCAATTACATCTTCACACTTTCTGGATTCTTTTCTTTATTCATAAAATCATTCTAATATGAATGTATCATTCATTTGTACATCTGCACAGTTTTATTCACAAACATTTTAACTTTAACATTAGAATCAATAATCATATGCATTTTAAAAATTCATAACACGAGAATTTCATAGTAAGCAAAGAGAAGAAAAAGCACTGCGAAAATTTAGAAAAAGCAGCAATATCTTTATCAGGTGTAATGAAGTTGGGATCTTTACATAAACATAACAGATACTTGAATGTTAAAAAAGTTTTAGAATAACTTGGCATCTTTTTGGTTATTCATAGCAAAAATATTCCTATAGTACCTGCTGTTCTTTTAACCTTTATCAAACCTAAGTTGTAGAAATGGACACAACCATTTATAAATGTGAATTTATTTATTTATTAGCTTTAATCAGCCATCAATACAGGGTGTGATTTGACTGTACAGATATTCTTCCTGGCCTAGCTTTGTAACAGCCACATTAGCTAACCATGATTAACACCAAAACATTCAAATGATAAAAAAAAAAAATATTTCCTATAGCAACTTATTGGTAACTGTTGTTATTTGTAGACTTAAGCATAATTTTGGATAATTTAACCCACTTTATACATGCATTATTTCAGGGCTCATGTTTGGCAAAATTTTGGGCTGATTACTGCCCCATTCCCCCATTAATATAGTGGTTTTTTAACCCTAAAACCGAAAAAAATAATATATAACGGCTATAGATCAGGGATCACGTTTTGAAGTTGAATTTTTAAACAAAGTATCAAAGATGTATTCAATTTCATTGGAAATAAGCAAAATATTTCATGACAGCAGCTTATGGTTGATTAATTTGTTACCTGAATCTTGTTTTCGCTTGTTTTTAATGAATTAATTTTCTTCTGTTGAAATTCTCCCTTGAATGAAAAATATTTGTAAATTATGCAAAAATCCCCCCTCCCCCAGCATGGAACCTGGATGCTAAAAAGAGCCCTGAAGTTACATGGAACTTATGGTGTAATTTTTCTAGGCTGTGTAAAAATCATACATAAATCTAGTTGTAACTGGTTATACAAATAACAACAGTTACCAGCCTCGCTAAATTTAGAAGGGTTTCTATATTAACAAACAAGTTGTTGAGGTCAAATGTCATCTTTCAATCTTGAATGGCAAAGACAGTCTTAATAAAGCTCCTATGTAAAATATTTCAGAACTTAGTCACCAATTCAGTTACAACACCCACATTCCATATGCAAGCTAAATGGCTTCTGCCTCGTGTAAAGGTTAACTATATGTCTATCAAACTTAAATATATATTAAGACTGATTTCCAAATATTTTGTGGTTATTAAAAAAAATTACATATGTTAAATTGATCCATACATGCACCTTTTAGTCAAATAACTTTCAAACTAACAAATTCACAGTTGTGTAATACAGAGTTATGCTATAAATAAAATAATGACTTACGAAATGATTAACCTTATTTCAATATGGGAGAGAAATATGTTTCACTAAGTGCAAATGCTCATTTGAACAAAATTAATGCAAGCAGCAAAGCAAGTAACTTTTTTCATAATCATTTTTTTATGTAAGAAATTTAATTTATGAAACAAGGTTTTTGCCAGTGTAATAAAACATTCACGGAAAAAGCTAACTTAAAAAGCACTAAATAATTTGAAGATATATAGTATTCCTTATTCTGAACAGAGATAAATTGTATCACTTAACAATATATAACAATAAGGCATAAAAAAAACAATGACAATAAAAATGAAAACTATTCACAACAATGTCTCTCAAATCATGATATATTACCCCTTACCCTGCTGGAACTTAAGGTGACTAGCTTTAGCCACCAGTATAGAGCCAGGCCAGCATTCACACCTGTATAGTCTGACCAGGCTCCATACTGATGGCCCACTTACTTTAAACCTTCATCCTGATATCCCTAGAATTGATAATGGACAGCTCTATGAATGGAAACTGGATAAATCCAAATGAAGAGATTCAGCAGGTTAATGCAATTACTCTGCATATTATCTAGGTAGTGTCCATTGGTTGTGTTTTAGTTGCCTCCACTTCTTCTCTTGCATTATTTGTAGAATCCTCATCTGCTTGAGAATCCAAAACCTGATGATCTCCCTTGTTCTCAATTGTTTTAACACTAGGTGGCGCTATAACTGGTAACCTAGCAAAACCTTCAGTTACTTGACCAACATCTTTGGTCACATTGTCAATAGAATGTACATATTCTTTGATCGGTCTCTCATTTTGCGAGATATTTTTAGCTGCCATTGTTTCATTGTCTTTTACTAAAGCAGAACCGTCTGCTTCATTGTTCAGAGATTCCTGGGGTTTAGCTGCCTCTGTTTTAATAGGTTGTATGTGTATGGATGGCTCGGATGGTTTGCTGATCTCTGATGACATTTGATTGGTCGGTATTTCACTAGTTCCCGACTCATCCCTTTTTTCAATGTAAAATAATTCCTGTGCAACCGGCTCCCTTTGCTTGATTAATTCTTTAATTTCATGCTGTTTTTGAATCCTCATGAATTCAGCATTTTTAGCATGCTCATCTACTTTCACCTCTTTTTCAACTGATTCTGTTTTCACTAGTAAAGTCTTCTTTTTTGGAGTTACTTCCCCTTTTAAAACTGCATCAGTAACAACACTCCCCTCTGGAATACATGTCCCAATAAGTTTCACATCACTATTACCGTCAAAATTTTCATCAAATTTCTTTTCTTGTTCAGTTTTCATTTCATCCTGGAACTTGACTTTCGGTTCAATTTTGATAGGTGTCTTGTCAACTTTCATTTTCTTCATTGGCGACTCTTCCTCATGCTTGGCTTTCAACTTTTCTAGACGTTTCTCTTTTGCCAATATTGCTGCATCTCTTTTCTCCTTCTCTTTCCTTATTCTCTCCTCTCTTTCTTTGATTCTACTTTCCGCCATGACTTCCTCAAGTCTTTTATGCTCCTCAAGCAATTCTGTATCATTCTGCATTTCGGGGTAGTAATTCTTCAACCTAACATGCCAGGCCACGCTCGTCACTGCAGAGACTGTTTTGAACTGATGAACCACATTACGAGGGATAAAATAAATGTCATTGTCTCGCAGTTGTATCCTTGCAAACTTGATTCCCTCCCTGTGTAGATAATTCAACTTGGCATCTTCAACCCAGGTCACACACTGTCAGAAATAGAGAAGAAATATTTTTTTAATTCTAAACAGGAAATAGGTTAACCAAATTTGTTACCAAGACAAAACAAGAGGGCCATGATGGCCCTGAGGTCGCTCACCTGTATAAAGGCACCCGGAGCGGGGCCAGTTTAAACCCCAGGGCTTTTATTTGAACAAACTTGGAAGACACCCATTAGAAGATGTTTCACGATGTTAAGTTTTTACTACACACATATAATGAAAAACAACGATCTACCCCCTGTCCTTATGCCCCCCCCCGGGCAGGGCCAATTTTAACCCAAGGGCTTTTATTTGAACAAACTTGGTAGATACCCATACGAAGATGTTTCATGCTAAACAAGCTAAATAAGCTCTAGCTCATTGGGTTTTTTTAAAAGAAGATTTTTTAAGTTTTTACTATACACATATAGTTAAACCAATGACACCCCTGGGGCGGGGCCAATTTTGACCCCAGGGCTTTTATTTGAACAAACTTTGTAGACAATTACTAGAAGATGTTTCTTGCTTAATATCTAAACTCTAGCTATTTGGGTTTTTTCAAAGATTTTTAAGTTTTTGCTATACAAATATAAGGAAAATCAATAACACCCGGGGCGGGCCAATTTTGACTCCAGGGCTTTTATTTTAACAAACTTTGTAGACACTCACTAGAAGATGTTTCATGCTTAATATCTAAACTCCAGCTATTGGGGTTTTTTCAAAGAAGATTTTTTTAGTTTTTGCTATATACATATAAGGAAAATCAATTACCCCCTGGGGCGGGGCCAATTTTGACCCCAGGGCTTTTATTTGAACAAACTTGGTAGACACCAATTAGATCATGTTTCATGCTAAATATCTTAGCTCTTGCTCTTTGAGTTCTTTAAAAGAAGATATTTTAAGTTTTTACTATATGCATATAGGGAAAATCAATGACCCCCTGGGGCGGGGCCAATTTTGACCCCAGGGCTTTTATTTGAACAAACGTGGTAGACACTCATTAGAAGATGTTTCGTGCTAAATATCTTAGCTCTAGCTCTTTGGGTTCTTTAAAAGAAGATATTTTAAGTTTTTACTATATGCATATAGGGAAAATCAATGACCCCCTGGGGCGGGGCCAATTTTGACCCCAGGGCTTTTATTTGAACAAACTTGGTAGACACTCATTAGAAGATGTTTCATGCTAAATATCTTAGCTCTAGCTCTTTGGGTTCTTTAAAAGAAGATATTTTAAGTTTTTACTATATGCATATAGGGAAAATCAAAGACTCCCTGGGGCGGGGCCAATTTTGACCCCAGGGATTTTATTTGAACAAACTTGGTAGACACTCATTAGAAGATGTTTCATGCCAAATATCTAAGCTCTAGCTCTTAGGGTTTTTTAAAAGAAGATATTTAAAGTTTTTTCTTTCGGTTGCCATGGCAACCAGAGTTCTGCATGGAATTAAATTCTTTGAACAATTTTAAAGGTGACCACCAAAGGAACATTCCTGTGAAGTTTGGATGAAATTGGCTTAGTGGTTTATGAGGAGATGTCATTTAAAGTAAAAGTTTACGGACAGACGGACGCCGGACAAAAAGCGATCACAAAAGCTCACCCTGTCACTTTGTGACAGGTGAGCTAAAAATGAGTAGCACCAACAGATGCTTTCTGGTGATATTACAGTGCTTAACTAAAACTTAAAGCTTGTTCCTTCTTACATCATTGATAAAGAGGATTTTGCAGTGTCATTTGACCCCGACAACAGTTGACTTCAAAATTCATAAAATTCCCTACCAAGTTACATAAACTACAACTCATTCCCATTCCAAGTTATTGATTCGACAAGGTTAGCAGGTTGTAACAGCACATTTTCCATAATAATTTCTAATATATATGACCCATCTTCGAACTTGACCTAGAAATCATCAAAACAACCTTCCTGACAAATTTCAAGAATACTTGGATCAAAACTGCAGCCACTAGAGTGTTAACAAGATTTTTCTATTTTTAGCTCCTGTGACCTTGTTTTTGACCAAAGATGACCCATCTTCGAACTCGATCTGTATTTCATTGAGACAAACATTCTGACAAAGTTTGATGATGATCCAATCAAAACTGTGGCTGCTAGACTGTTAACAACCCAATTGTTGACGACGCACAACGCACGACGACGGACATAGCCCCATCACTATACCTCACCTTGACCACTTCGTGGTCAGGTGAGCTAAAAAATGTTAATAAAGTTCTAAGTGATTTCGTATGAACATCTATAAGAATAACAATAATATTTTGTTCTAGAACCTACTATTTATTGCTATATAATATATATTATAATGGGTTATGTGATGTATATCAAACGGAGCCCCTAAGGTGACATTCTCGACACTTTTTCCCCGACATTTAATTCGTTTTTACGAAATATTAATTCGTTATTACGAAATATCAATTCGTTTTTACGAAATATTAATTCATTTTTACGAAATATTATTTCGTAATTACGAAATATTATTTCGTAATTACGAAATATCAATTCGTTTTTACGAAAAATTAATTCGTTTTAACGAAATGTTAATTCGTATTTACGAAATATTAATTCGTTTTTACGAAATGTTATTTCGTAATTACGAAATATGATTTCGTTATTACAAAATATTAATTCATAAAAACGAAATGTTTTTTCGTAATTACGAAATATTAATTCGTTTTTACGAAATCTTATTTACGGTGATTTTGAGCTTGATAAAGAACCTATTAATCTCACAAATGGGTCATTTACATATCTTGATCAACTTTGCGATTATAAGCCGAATGGTTCTCAAGTTATTATATTTAAGTGAACAGGGTTTTTGAGTGAGAAGTCATTCTCTATCCAAAATAGTCTTTTTTCCCCATTGTCAAATACATGTTCCTATCAGGAATGTTTTAATGTTTGAAGCAATCTTTTACGACATGTATCGTTAAAACAGAATGCTATATTATTCCGTTCTTTTATCATATACATTAGTAAAACTAATGGGACGAGGGGGGGAGGGGTTGGTCCAGACTTTCACTAATCTAATCAATTTAAAATGAATATTTCCTTACAATTTATCATTTGAAATGTCTGTGTTTTGATTTGCAGCACAGGACCCCCATATTAACTAAATTTTCCTAGCGCGGGTACTATCACGGCTGTGGCTCAACGCTATTTACAGGCGATTATTTTAATTTATGTGCAATAGTGTAAAGTTATAAAACTTGGGGAGAACAATAATCACTATTTATATTGCATGTACATGCCTTATATTAAGTCAGGAGCTTAGTTTTGAGGCCTTATTTATAACTATAATTAAACTCTTTGAAACCCTAGAAAAAATTTAATTCGTTTTTACGAAATATTATTTCGTAATTACAAATTATTATTTCGTAATTACGAAATAACATTTCGTTTTTACGAATTAATATTTCGTAAAAACGAATTAATATTTCGTTATTACGAATTAATATATCGTAAATACGAAATAATATTTCGTCAAAACGAATAAATATAATTAAACTCTTTGAAACCCTAGAAAAAATTTAATTCGTTTTTACGAAATATTATTTCGTAATTACAAATTATTATTTCGTAATTACGAAATAACATTTCGTTTTTACGAATTAATATTTCGTAAAAACGAATTAATATTTCGTTATTACGAATTAATATATCGTAAATACGAAATAATATTTCGTCAAAACGAATAAATATTTCGTAATTACGAAAGAAATAATATTTCGTAATTACGAATTAATATTTCGTAAAAACGAATTAAGTTCCGGGGAAAAAAGTGTGGAAAATGTCACCTTAGGGGCTCCGTAATATCACACTTGCCAACCACATCCATATATAATTCTTTCATGTTTTGTTGTTATCTCTTTTACAGAATACTATTGGCAACACTTTATTAACACACATTCCATAATAGACCAATTCACTTTAAATGAGCAGATAAAAATGATTTTACTGGTCTTTACAGAAAGGTAGGATCTTGAGCCAATTAGCAGGATTAGTTCATGAGCACACCAAATATCTACATGTAAGATGAAGGTCCTCTAAGAAATGGCAAGTGTAACTGAAGGACAGTGCAAACCAAAGTATGAGCACAGAAAAACTTTTAATATCAACGCTGCTTAATACATTATTTCAGGTGAAAGTAAAGTAGTCACAACTTGGTAGAACCACTGACAATTCATAGATTACTGTAGCTTTACAGTATCTCAGTAAAAAATTTATCTGCAGGCAAGTAACTGTAGCCACTTTGCCTAAACAATAACCTTAACTACAAAGATCCCTTAGAGACACATTAATGTATTCAATATTAATATATTCAAAGATATTAAAGTTTTAAAAAGTATCAAAGAATGTAGTCTATATGTAGAAACAAAACCAGTAAGTACCTGTGAGACCGGGGGTTCATGAAGATCTAGTTGTAATTTATCAACCAGATGCATAAAGTCACCAGGATTAAAACAGATCACATCTTTCACTATACGATCCTCTAATGGCCTGAAATAGATATTTTTATATTCATTACTAGTTATAAGAAAAGTTTTAAGAATAGCTATTGTTTTTACAAGTAAAATAAAAATATATCATAAAGGTATGACTGAATTCTTGCCGAAAGGGACAGTCAAAGTTTGATTATTTGTTTTGAGTTTTATACAACAATCTACGCATATACATGTGGTCTCTTAAAGACTTGAACTTTATTTTAAATAAGCATTCCTGAACCTTGTAAACGTAAAATGTCTGTCATGCATTTACAACTGCTTTTGGTTGTTTTTGGGTTTTTTTTTCCTAAGCCTGGTTAACAAAAAAAATAAACTGAAACAAAAACTGCTTACAATGTTTATTCTCTTAAAAGTGCTGCTTTAAAATAATCAAGAGTTCATTACATTGACAATCGGTCATAATTCTGCAACATATATTTCTACAATTTTTTTAATTAAAATACAAATTTAACCCTTACTTTTTTCCACATGTGACAGCTTTCAGCATGCCAACAGCAGCTGTTGTATGCCTGTCAAAGCCATGACCAACATGGTCGGCATGGCAACGGGTTCGATCCTCCACCATCGTCTCCCTCGGTTCTGAAGATCTTGGTAAATACTGTAGATTCTTTAACTCATTCATTCCCCTGAAAATAATTTTGAGTAAATATTATGGTAGGTAAAATAGGTGAAATAAAAGTAAATATCTAATATCTATGATTACAGTTATCTTTTTTTGTTTTGTTTTTTGTTTTGTTTTACTGACAACCAACACAATTTAGGTCATATGGCATCAAAACAGGAAAGATGATTTTGGTCAATCTTGGGTGTTACAAACTTTAACACCAGCAGTCAAAACCATCTCACCTGCTGGAGCTAAGAGATGCAGATAATCTAGTAATTTGAACAAATTAGTAGCATCTTACTATCCCGCAGGGTTTCAATGTTGGTTGCAATTGTGATGCCTCAACCCATACAGGCAACCCCTTCGCCACAAGGGGTTTATAGTAATTTCCAATGAAGTCAAATTTATTGAATAAAACAAGACTGAAATATACAATGTAAAATTTGTGTTAACATGCAAAATGACAAATACAGGCAATGAACCAAATTAATTCTGTTTAACTTTAAGGGTACTCCTATACTTTACAATTAAGATGTGAATCTAATAATAAATGAAAGCTTAAAATGTAAATAAGAGATCTTACATTGTGTTTTTTATATTTTTTTAGATTAAGTGTTGATTAATTTGTATGTTTCTTCATCAATACCTGTCTGTATAATTATTGTGTACAGACAGTAATAAGCACATGTATCAAAAGTAATAATACGCACTAATCTTCATAAACTTCTACAAGTAGCTACACGTATGTATATTCTGCATATCTTTCTTTTGTACATTGTATGCAACCCATACAAGTTATTTTCGAAAAAGAAATTCATTATATAAAGTCATATTAATGTGTTCAGATGTGAAAAATATTACATTTCTCGGGATGACATTAACAACTCAATGTACCTCTGATTTTTATCAATTAACATTTTGAACGTATAAAGCATAAACACACTGTTAAAGTGATAATGTACGTCTTAAAGTGCTAATAGTCTACTCTATAAGACATCTTGGGGTCTTAAAAAAAAGCGAGTACTACCAATATCTAACAATTATTAGAAATTTCATTATAACTTATAAGCAAAGCCTGAGTAATTTCTTTTTATTATTCTTGTTTATTTCTTCCTATCTATGAAATTAAATATTTACTTGTATTTAAGGGTATAAAGCTACATGTAATTAAATATTTCTATAAAATTTATAAATGGTAAATTATGTTTGTCTCCATATCCTTACATAGTAAATTCTCGAGTTGTAACATGGAAAGTCTCTTCTAAGTTCTATTTAACACAAATATGTACATGTATTGGTAAACAAAATGAAATGTTCTGGAACAAAATATATCATGTTGTTATTTTATAAGGTTTTTAACTGTTCACCTATGATTTTGAATTTTTGTCCATGTGTCAATTATACCAACATATTTCTTTCATGCAAGTATTTTGGAGTTGTTCTTTTTCAAATTTCAAACAAAGATTTTGTAACAAAGATTTTGTAAACTGGAGGTAGCAAAGCTATTATAATATAGCTTTATATACTTTAAAGTTAAAAATTATTTTTATTAAATAACAGAAGTAAAAACATCAAAAAATACAAACTCACCTTTTTCTTTTGAATGGTGATTTAGGCATATCAGCTGTCGGAACCAGCTGTTCACCTGGCCTTGTCCACAATATCGGTCCATCGTTACTCATATTTCGAGATGCCATTCTCACCGAAGACAACTCACCCCAGGGCATAACAAGATTTAGGAATGGATCACTCTCAAACATATCTAGAACCTCGGGAAAATAATCACCAACCTCCTCCTGCGCAGTACCAACTACACTGACCTGTAATAAAGGCCCACATCGAAATGTCCCAGCAGAGAATGATTTATGTAATTGTTCCCTGTATTTCTCCATAGTCATTGTTTCTATATCACTTTTACCAAGAACACCAGCTTTCACCGTTAGATTAGGATAAGTGTCTGCAAAGTGCTCTATAAGGTCTGGCATATGACTAATAGCCCCATGAACAACTGATATACAACAATTAGCCACACCTTCATTCGGCTCTCCATATGTGAAATCCATAAATTCCTGTGCAAATTCAACTTTTTCAGTGTCACTCAGTTTATCTACTTCATTTTGGTAAGCATGCAGAATGAGACCACCACCATTACTGTATTTTTCAACATGCATCAGTTTTTTATATTTGTATTTCTCAATGCTTGCCACTTGAGTCTTCCAAAACTTGTTGCCCTGAGATTCACTTGAAAACTCTGAGAAGACTTGATCATTATTCTGCTCCATTGCTTCCCCAAGATGTTCCAGTCCTGTCCTTGGAGTAGGTTTAGCATGTTTACCACCTTTCTGAACATTATTCATACTTTGCTGAACATAAGCAATTCTTTGAAGCTTTTTGTCTGACAGTTTCTGAGACTCTATCACTTTGCTTGAAGATACACCACCAATATCTTCAGGCACCTGAGAAGATTTAGTATCAGTCTTTTTCCTTAGATTAACCTGAACACCACAATTAACAATACGCTTTTTTCTATGATGCCTTCTGTGTTTATCTGATGACGAAGACTCTGATTTATTTATATTACTAACTGCTTCAGATTTCTGAGGATCTTTTGAGATAGCTTTTGCCTCCTTATGTGGAGATCTTTCAGAACTGTCTTTGGAGACAGTTTTAACACTGTGATCAGTTTTTGATCGGGGTTCAGACTTTTGTGGGGTACTAGACATTGTTTTCTGGGTATTGCTTGAACTAGATCGCTGAGAAGTATCAGAACTTGATGATTTTTGATGTGAACTAGATTTCTTATGATGGGAGTGATCTGATTTACTATCATTCTTGTTATGTTCATGCCTGTTTGACTTACTGTCATGGCTTGATGATGGTTTTGTTCCAGTTTTGTCTCTATGCTGATGTTTGTGATGCTTTGATCTGTGAGATGTACTATGATCAGATGATTTACTGACTGAACTGTTTTCTCTCACACTTACCTCCTTGAGATTATTCACATTTCCCTCTTTGTGCTTATTCACACTTCCCTCATTGTGATTATTCACACTTCCCTCAGTGTTTTTCTTCACACTATTATCTTTATGATTATTCACACTTCCCTCCTTTGGTTTATTAATGTTTCCTTCCTTGAGATTATTTACAACACTCTCCTCCTTTTGTTTAACTGTACTTTTTTCCTTTTGATAATTCAAGCTTCCCTCATGAAAAGTCTCTTTTGCAGTATTTTCTTTAAAAATTGTTTTGTTTTCTTTTCCGATATTTGAAACAAAATCATCTTTAGTGTCCAAGCTATCTTTTACTTGTTTATGCTCAATTGATGCTTTGATTGAATCTTTTTTTTCCATTTTGTCTTCTGTACTTGACTTTTCAACATTTTCCAATTTTACCAATCCTATTCTTTCTTTACTAGCCAATTCTTTAGGCTCAGATAACTGTTCTTTCAAGTCATTTCCCTTAGACTTTGTCTCTTCTAAATGTTTAGTTTGCTTGGCAGTTTCTGAATATTGCTCTTTCTTGCTACACATTACTGCTGTACTCTTAACATCAACTTTAATATCTTTCTTCTCTTGTTCATTTACATCTGATGCTTCGAAATTCTCAGCCTTTGTTGGATTTTTCTTTGTATCATCTGTTTTATTTGTGTCTCCCGTGTATTTTACTTCAGTAGGAGTTTCTGCATTTATCACTATTTTAGCACTTGTGTCTGCCAAATGATTATCTTGGATAGGGGAAATTTCTTTGACAAGGATTTTATTATTTTCATTAAGCTTAACTTCATCTGAATCAAGTTCTTTACACTCACCAACACTTTTAAGTTTTTGCTCTGATTTAGCCTCTTTAAATTTCACTTTTTCTGCATCTGATTCCTGCTTTGTTTCTCCATCTGATTTGACGTCTTTTATTTTTACATTGGCAGTCAATGTTTCATGCCCTAATTTGACATCTTTCATTTTCACAGAGCCAGCATTCTTTTCATCATTTTTACAGCTTTCTGGTACACTTAATTTATTATTACTGGTATCCTTAATCAAATCTTGAGGCTTTTTTGCTCCAACTTTGCCATCTTTAACTTTTTCCTTTTCCTTGAATTCTGATGATTTTTCATGTGATTTATCTTTATCTGAACTGCTAGATTTGTGTTTATCTGCCTTCTTATGAGAATGTTTGCTATGATGATGGGTCTTTTCCTTATGGTGATGGTGGTGGTGATGATGATGACCATTTTCAGAGGATTTGTGCCTCTTCTTGTGCTTTTCAGACTCATCTGCGGCTTCTTGTGTAGGTACTGAAATACAGAAATTAATGTTGTTTTTTTTTTAAAAAGTTCAATTACTAAAAAATTATTTATTTAATAACATTAGAAATCACTAATGAGACTGCTTTCAGTTCTGAAGAAAAGGGTCTTAATAGTCAGGTGGTCTTTAGAGCTGAATTGTCTAATCAAGTTTTCAAAACCATCACTTCATACTCAGGGTGTCCGTTTGACCCTTGAAAGGACTCTTTGACCCTTCAAATTTCCAAAAGGCCTGATTTGACCCTCAGGATTTCAACTGGAGGGTCAAATTTTGTTAAAATCATGGGGATTTGGCCTTTTAGTCAAAATGACCCTCAGGGTTTCATGGCTAGTGAACACCCTGAGTCATACTCATAATACTGTAAAGTTCACCATCTTTTCGAGCTAACTATATCAAGAAGTGTCAATCATAATCTTTTCTTTATGTCATACTAAAACAGGTCAATAATTAGAACAAAACCCCTTATGGCAAGTCAATCCAGTCTTTAGTTCAGTATTGAAATGCATGATTTAATAACTATCAGGTTGTTATGTAAAAACAGGGTCTAAATACATGCAAAATGGTTTACTTGTCCGAAGAACTGGTCGTGTTACAACAGTTACATAATCATGAGGTGGTCTCAATTTCGGATAGAAAGACCATTGAAATATATTATAAGATGTTCTTTCTTGATATTAAACTGAACAAGACAATTTGGATGACCAAGACATGTAAACTTGTAGATAATTATATGGAAATATTTTGACTTTGAGACAGTGTTTCCACTTTGTATTTAGAAATAATGACTGTGCAAGTGACTTGCATTTCAAAGTGTTTATGACACTTTTCATAACACATTTTTTACATTTACAAACTACAAAAAAACAGAATAACAGCATAGTAACAGAAATACAGACACACTTGATTATTTTAAATTTCTGCTAAACTAAGTTCTATTTTAATTTCTGAATAAAAGTATTATACTGTGCTCCTCTTAGTTCACGGTACTTAACACTTAAAAACAGTAAAGAACACAAACAATAAACTCACACTACAAAAACTGTTATAAACTGTATCATTTAGTCATTTTTCTGCTACATGACACAAGGAAACAACAATATATTCAATCAAAATTAGTTTTAATTTGTCAGATGTAGACTGTGTGTCGGCCATTTTGAAAACAATATGTCATCATTTAACTCGTGGTAATGGTGTTTTATTTCAGTATTTTCATGTTTCAGTTAAAATTTCTTAATGTTATTTTGCATAATTTTAAATATTAAAAGTATCTTTACATTGTAACTCAAATTTATTTTTTCAACAAACGAGAACATTTAGAAAATGATGATTGTTTCAGACGTAAGCACAAATTTAATTAACTATTGCTGTTTTTTGCAGAAGTTTGTAAAATGTTGTTCAGTTTTACGTAAAAATCTATAGATTTAAATTATTTTGCACAAAAACTTTGTTGTTAATGTGTTTGAATAAAATATGTCAATTCTGACCAATTTTAACACTGGTCACATGAAAATATGCCATTACCGCGAGATAAGTGATGACGCGGAATTAGTGATGTTGAGTATACCATTTGCATTGCCATTAACGAACATTCCATTTTCTGCTTTAGAAATTTTCAGAGTAAGTTTGACAGGAGGCAGTTTCGAATAATCTGGCTCTTTCCCATTAGCCGGAGGAGTTGTAACTTTCAATTTATTTGGACTTGGTGAATTTGAAGCCACATCAGAATCAGAAGAAAATCGCCTCTCCCTACTTGTCTCATAATCGTCCAAGTAACCTGAACTTGACAATCTTCTATAGTCATGTTGTATTCGTCTTCGTTTCCCCATTTCCGCTGATTCCATAGGATCAGTCACAGGAACAGATCCGTTTGGCGAGGCCAATTTAAGGCGTTTAGCCTTTGGTGGCTCCATGTGTTGGTCTACGTTCATACCGACAAGCGTGTTATGGAAACCAGGTAAATTTCGGATGTTTTCTAACCTATCTTTGGGTGTATTGGTTATGACATTATTTCCACTTTGTGCAGAATTCTTAACTTCGTCCGATGGAATTATTGTTGCATTTTGTTTATCTGACGTAACAGTGTTTCCCACGTTATTTTTTTCTGCTGTAATTCCAATATTTACACTTTCGTCCATTTTATGATGCAGATTCCCCGGATGATACATAGCAAAGCAATTCACTCAAGCGTCATGTGATTGGCCAATCTTGACATATTATCAAATTGGGTCATATACGGATCAATCAAAAGGAGTTTAACAATTGCCCGATTTAAACGGTGTTAACAACAGCGAACACCGAACGTAGAATATATATATTTAGGTATCACACCACTATAAGTTTGTATTATCTGTGTGACGTAACCTTGTCAAATATATTTCAGTTTTGCTTACATGTCTAAAAGCATGAAAAGGTACAGCAGGCAATGAGCAAATTTGATTATTCCTAAAACGTTTATATTCTTAGATTATTCCTGAAACGTTTATCTTCTTGAAGAACAACATGAATTAGATCTACACTGTTAATTATTTAGGTCTACTTTCATGCAAATATTTTTTTATAAGATCTTGATTATGTCTTTATAATTAAGTGGATTTTCAAATTAGAAAGGACCTCCCGCTCTTTTGTAACGGCCATATATCTTTATATACGGATCTTAATTAATTAATACATGTCATAAATGTAATACTATATATTGGATGTTATGGTTAATAAAACTCCAGAAAAATGAATGAGACAACTACATGTATAACTTTGTTTATTATATACTTATTTATACATGTATACTTATAAATGAAATATTGAGAAATATTGATGAAATAAAATGCGTATTTTCATTTCCGTATCTCCACTGTTTATTTTTATTTATTTTTCACTGCAGTGAAACATATTTTCCGTATTTTCACTGGTAACTTGCCGGACAACTTTCTAGAAACGGCGCGTTGTCGGACTTTCGTCTTGTCGTCCTGTCGCTAGCGACAACACAACAAAGCGCCAAACCGCGCGTTGTCGCGCTGTCGTCCTGTCTCTAGCGCGGCACGCCAAACGGCGAGTTGTCGTGCGGTGCGTTGTCGCGATGTCGCCCTGTCGCTTGGCTTATAAGCCAGTCCGTCAATTTGAACCGAGCGACAATGCGACATCGCGACAACGCGCCGCACGACAACGCGCCGTTTGGCGATTTTGTGAGTTAGAACAGCTATAGTGATTAGGTATATTTTGACTTCCATACAAAATACTACTTTGTTTTCATTTTGCTTATTTTATGACAAAATAATCACATTTATCGCTACTTTATTCATGTGACAAGCATCTTGCATGCTCTAAAAACAATTATTTAAAATTATGAAATTCGTGTTTGCCCTTTCTTAAGAAGTAAAAATTTATTCGTGTCTGAAGCATAATGTGCCTTTAATTTTGATTTAATAAATGAGTCGCGTCACGACAAAACCAACGCAATGCGTTTGGGACCAGCATGGATCCAGACCAGCCTGCGCATCCGCGCAGTCTGATCAGGATCAATGCTGCTCGCTTACAAACCCTATTACAAGTAGAGAAACTGATAGCGAACAACATGGATCCTGATCAGACAGCGCGGATGCGCAGGCTGGTCTGGATCCATGCTGGTCGCAAACGCATTACGTTGCTTTTGTCGTGACGCGGCTCTTATTATTATATATCATTTCTGATTTTATCAGTAATAAAATAATATTACATATTGTTATTTATAAATACCTCATGAGAAGAAAGCTGTAAAAAAAGAGAAAATAAGAATCCCTCAAGAAAGTCCAAAACGGCAAAGCAGGCTCGGTTTGATTGAGCCTGTTCATGGACGGTACTGCCAAGTGCAAACTACCTTCCACGCCCCTCCCCCTGGCACCGGCTTAAGCAGAATTCGGCATTTCAACGTAAAAATGTTGAAATTTTGAATTTCGAAAACATCCGCAGGTGTGTAAAAGTTTGAAAATGCACGAAAACAACAGCAACAAAACCAACGAAACCCCCACTTTTGAGTAAACCTTTTAAAGGCCCATTAAGTCCCAGAAATGCATTTTTTTGTTTCTTACAAGCTTCTTAATTTTCGTGTCCTATTAATTATAGTTTACAAACAGTTACTCATTGCCCAATTATCTAAACCATTTTTGCTTCTATAGCTTTTAGAAATTGGTACTGTTATATTGATTTAGTATTTCGTTTTTAAGTCAAAATACTACTTTGTTTGCTATTTGCTACTAGCATGACAATTTTTTCACGTTCACCTCTACTTTCTTTAGACAATAAGCATCTAACATGCTTAAAACGATTATGTAAATGATACAAAACTCGCGGTCTGATCAGGATCCATGTTGTTCGCTATCAGTTTCTCTACTTGTAATAGGGTTTGTAAGCGAACAGCATGGATCCTGATCAGACTGCGCGGATGCACAGGCTGGTCTGGATCCATGCTGGTCGCAAACGCACTATGTTGGTTTTGTCATGGCGCGGCTCAAATAAATATTCGTTTTCTTTGGCATAATTATGTTGTTAAAGCTTGCCATATCTTTCTTGTCCTTCGTGATCATTAATTTTCAGTTCCTTTTTGCTTCTGTTTAAACCGGCATCAGAGGCACGTGGCAGCTGTTGCAGTTTTCATTATTTCTTTTAAACAGACTCAATCAAACCGATCCTGCAGTTTTCACATTTCTTATATTTTTCTTTATTATTGCTTACAAGAAACTTTCTCATCAAGTTCCCGAGTCTTTAACCAGGTTCTTTATTGCTATATGCCTAATTTTTGCAATCTCTTACATGTACAACGGACAGTTACAAATCCGAAGAAATATAAGTCATTTCTTACATCAGGAATGTATATATAACACAATTTACAGTCAGACCTGTATTAAGCAACCACACAAAAACACTTAAAATGACCGCATATTACAACAGTCTCTTAAGTAAAAAATTATGTTAACTTTCCTTTGCGGTTGGTGAGCTTTTCAACTTAAATCATGTGGTCGCATGGGCAAGTTAGACTGTACATCTCTGCTTACATTAGGCAGAGATAAAGGCTATAAGCAAAGACTTTGGGCTGTGTAAATACGATAACAAAATTGGTTACCTGACAAGGACGATCTGTGTGTTTAAATGTATGTACTGCCTTATTTAATTACAAATACTACCAAAGGCTTTAAATCAATATTGGCTAAATAAACAGTGAGCATTGAATGATCACAAGATTTCCATTTGTCACAATATCTGATAACAATACATTATGTAGATTTCAAGTACAATTCACTTTATTTATTTCGCCGAGCTAATCTTTTCCATCTGGCTTGAGTCCATACAAATCGATTCTTACTTTCAATAGCGTTAATTCAAAACTTTATTTAAAAATATTACATGCACTTTACGCCTTTTAATTTTGTGTTGTGTATAATCAATCATAAACGCTTTATAAGCATATTGGTTTAAAATCACCTAGGGAATTTATATTGATCTTTAAAACTTCTGTTCAGTTAATTAAAACCAACGCGCTGACATAACATGAAAAAGGAATATCAATCAATCTGGGATATTATAAAACACACAAATTGAATAATAAATGTAACAGCGAACTGTTTAATTACTGTAAAAATGGAGTCTACGGTTGAAATGATTACATGTCCAATATGCCAGGACATGTATAAGAAACCGAAGTATCTACCTTGCTTACACACGTTCTGTGAATCATGTTTAGATGGGTATATTGTTAACATTGCTAATATTTGTGCCAAACTAGATCAACTCCCAGCATCCATATTTGACAACAAACCGTACGTCTGGACAGGTGATGGATTTCCGTGTCCGGTTTGCAGAGCACACGTGCAGATTCCAGGCGACAAAGTGAAAACCACTCAGCCATCACGATGGGCAACACTATTTCCGATTAACCATCTTGTGCTAAGCATCATGGGATTCGACGCGATACCTGTTGAGGACAGCATGTGTACGCCATGCGAAAAGATTAACGATCCGAAACCCGCCGAGCACTGGTGCTTAGAATGTTCTGAGGCGCTTTGCCATCTTTGTGCCAAACATCATCACGTTCTCAAAGCGACAGATTCTCATTCTGTCATCAGACTAACGGAATTGAAAAACCACAGTGGTCCAAGTAGCCATGAGGAAGTTACACAATGTCATGATCATCCGGGACATTTGTTGGATATGTATTGTGTGGACCACAACAAGGTCGCTTGCTCCGAATGTACAAGGATTGATCATAAGTCATGCGAAACGGTTATTCCAGTTGATAAAGTTGCTGGCGAAATAAGGGACTCGTCCGAAGCTTTGAAACTGTTAGACAAACTGAAAGAATGCAACGAGGAAACGGAATGCATCGTCCTAGATAGAAAGAGGACATCGGATAAGTTGAATTCTACTAAAGACAAGGTATTGTCAAAGGTTAAGGCTGTTAGGATAGAAATTAACAAAGTATTAGATGAACTTGAACAGATGTTTAAGCAAGATTTAGAGAATACACACACCCAAGTAATAAATGGACTAGAAGATCAGATCGGGAGATGTCATCTACTTCAGAAAGCTGTTAATAGCTCAAGGGCAATCCTCCAAGCTGCTATTGAATATGGGACAGACAACGAATTATTTGTTGTTGCTCATAGAATGGAACGGGAATTCCACAAGTACGAAACGGTTCTGGAAAAAGAAGAATCAAACCTACGCGATATTGATTACGACTTTGAGCAGAACTATGAGATAGAACATATTCTAATGGCTCTTGATGAAATTGGTTCTTTAAAAGTTAACAAAACACCAACCGTTGTTTCGCCTTTCATAAAGAAACGTGCCACTCCAGGTTCCAGATTTGATGCAACTTCGGCAATGGACGATAGATGTGCTGAGCTTACAGGTGGCACGTTTTTGCCAGACGACAGACTAATGCTTGTTGACAATGCTAACAGGAAGTTAAAGCTTTTCACACCAGATGGTGATCTTTTGTGCGAATTTGAACTTAGTTCAGCTCCATGGGATATAACATGCGTTCCGGGCGGAATGGCGGCCGTTACGCTTCCGTCCGAGAAGAAAGTGATGTTAGTATCCGGGATGAACGACTGTATAACTCCAGTTGAACAATTTAACACTTCTGGAAAATGTTATGGGATTGCATATTCCTACTACGCAAAAGACCTTGTTGTTGCGTGTGACACACCTGGAGATGGTCTAGCAACGGTCAAGGTCATTTCTTTATCTGGGGACGAACTACGCAACATTGCGATTGGAGAGAATGGCCTAAGTATCACATCTCGACCGAGTTATGTTGCAACAAATCCATTTGACGCCGACGTGTATGTGTCCGATGAATGCAATAATACAATTATTGGAATAACAACAAACGGAGAAATAAGATTCAACCACAAACATTCATACTTAAAGCTTCCGGTCGGCATTGCTGCCGATAATCATGGCTGCATTTACGTGTGTGGCAACGGGTCATGTGACATACATCAGATGACACGTGATGGCCAAAGAATTCGCCTACTTACAGATGGTTTACCACATCCTCGCGCAATTGCGTTTGATCCCTATGGTGACCGTTTCTTAGTTACAAGTGATGGTTCTTACAAAAGTACTGTTCAGGTTTACACAATGTCATAACAGATTTATACGAGAAGCGTAATATGCCATTACCCAGTTATTATAAACTTAAATGATATTGTATATAGTGTATATATATTTGTTTTTTGTTTAAACATGTTCTTTCCGGAGAGTTCCAAAATTAGGCGACAATATCGCGCTTTTTGAATTTCTTGTTAAGGCACATATATGTATATACTATTGTTGTAAATATTTATGTATTAGTATCAATTTCCTTCTTTTTTCTTTTCACTGTGCCTTTTTGTTTATTTTTTTCTGTGAATGTAATCTAGGAGATATTGAATTCATAATTCTCACAAAATTAATTTGTATAAAGTGTTTTATTGGATATTTCACCGTTCATTAAAGAGTTGATGCATCGAATGATTTTATTTTGCATTCTATATTTCTGCTAATTAATATGATTGGCGACTTTTTGTAAAGAAGAATTATAGATACTTGTCAGTGGCACATTTAATTAATTAATTAATCTAAATACTACATCTCTGTATATCGTACATACCGCTTGATCTAATAAGTTGGTAACCTGTAAGTTTTATCATAATCTTTTGGCAGTACGCCCCAATTGAATTACTTACAGCCAATAACATTTTGCTGATTCAGTAATGTTTAAGAAGTCGGAAGAAAAGATCTGCAATTCAAATTAATTAGCAGATTAACATTCCGGGCCGTTTATATGGTCAATGTACTAGTCATGCAGTTTCCAATTATTATCAATATATGATTATTCCTGCCAACATTTGAATTTAGGAAGCATTTGAGACTCTGACATTAAAATATATGTGTTCTATAGTGTTACGTATAATCTGCATCCCAATGAAAACGTTATGCTTTGAGTTTGGAAATGTCTATTTTTAGTGAAATGGACGAATCCAATATTGAAAATTGCCGAAAAGAAATTCGGTTATTTAACAAAAATATATATAATTTGAAGTATAAACTTGTATTACGACTCAAAGGTTAATGACTGCAAAAATGACTGTCGTGTGTGAAAGACAAGTCAGTATTGCCATTTTGGGTACGGTAAATTTGAAAATATGCAAATATGTGTACGCAAATTCATTTCAAGTCACTGAATTATGGTAGATAGTATTCAAATTCATACAAAGCGGTCTATAGGCGCAGGGTGGATATGCGACATCCGGAACGAATACCGCCTGCCTACCAATTCAGTGACTGCGAGTTCGATCCTAGGCTATCACATAATAAAATCACCAGTATTTTTTATGAAATCATGAGGGTGATCTAGGATTCTAGGCCGACATAAAATATTAGTGGTTATTTATTTCTTACAATAAAATTAAAAATTCTGACAATAAACTGTCCAATCTTCAAAATAAAACGCTTCAAAAATGTATACAACAAAAAGAAAATATATTTTTAATCATTTTATTAACAAATATAGGAAAATTTTGTGTTTAAACATGGAGGGTAAACATCAACATATATGGAATGCAAGGCTGGACTAATTTCTCTGATTGATATGCCTGTATATACATTTACGATATGATACTGATAGTACATGTATAGTGGGTAAACATTATGTAATATATTATATACACGGAAGTTATAAACATTCTCAACTATGTAAAGGGTATCCAAGAAAATGTGAGCTATGACATAAGGTGACTAAATTTGGCAAACCTGGCAAAATTATATACCTTCTTTACTTGAACAGTAAGTAGATTAAGTATTGTACCCAGCTTAACCCTTACCACCCTAAATTTAAATGAATGGACTTGCCCATCTTTTAACCTGGATAAAACCATTCGTCATTTTTGGTGAAAATTTCAAAATATGTACTGACTATATAGCGAACAGTGTAGTCCAGGGCAGAGCTTGGTCCGCACTGTTTGCATGGGTAGAATCATTTGCCACCAGCCAGCAACGGGTTAATATAACCAATTTTGGCTCACATACCAATTAAAGAACTAAGATTATCAAATACATGTACAACCATACATTTCAAACCTTATTCCCATAATTTTACAGCTTAAGTTTATATTATCAAAACATAAACAAAAATCTTCAACAAAAACGAAGTAAAATACATTCTTAAAGGGTATATAGTAAAAAAAAACACTCGTAAAAAATAAAGCAAGCACATATAGAACTCTTAGATATAACCAATGGAAGGCATGACATAAATTACAAAGCCATTTTTAATAAATCCAAAACGTCCAATAAAAATAAATAACCAGTGGCTGTATTGTTTTAGTGATTTAAAGGTTTTCAGTCAATCAATACTTTAATCATAAATTCCCTTATAAATTACAAGATTACAAAAGCATTTAGATGACAAGAATTTTCATAATCTAGACATGTTAGGACGTTTGCCTCCTTGGACATAAATAAGGAAATTACAACACCAGGCTTTGTTTTTGTTTGAAAATCAATCTGTATTTATATGGTAAATTCAACTTTCGGGGGCAAATACATATGTATCTGCCCTTCAAAATTTATGAAAGGCAAATGTCTGCGAAGGGAACTGGAGACAATTGTTTGAGAGGACAAATGTCTGTTTTCCAATTAAAATACTTATCAACTGCTCATATGACACACTTCTTAGGAAGTAAAATTAGCATATTGTTATTATTATCTAACTAATGATGGCACCGTAGGTACACAGAGCTGCATTCACTCCAGTTTTTGTTACCTATTTAAGGCAGATGGCCACTGATAAATATAGTATTTCCCATATAAGTAATTGTACGTGTGTACCAACCTCTTACATTTTAATATGAAAACAGATATATGTATCTAATTCAAGGCAATTCATGTTCAACCATATAAGCATTATAAATAACTGTTATAAAGTATCTATCTAGCAAAATAAACATAAATACAAAGTTTACTTTTCAATTCACGTTATACACTTAAATATTTTTAACAATACACTTACATTTTCTAACAATACATGTATAAGATTTATTTTTCACCTTTTATGCTCGTTTTCTAGCTACATTTCAATATCTATATATAAATTACCCAAGTAAACATATACAGTAGTAATGATAACAAGCAATTATCATAGTATTGCAAGCAATCCATAAGTCCCCTACCGGTAAGAGCCCAAACAACATTCTGAAGGGCCATTGGCCATTCACTTAGGTTCCTATTTTAAGTAAATTTGTTGAAAAAGTTCTTTAAAAGTGATCACAGTAAACAGTTTTTATGTACAGACAAACGGACTGAAGGACACTCTAAAGTTATTTTTTAAACATCCCTGTTATCAAAATATAACATTTTTAAAATCCTATCATGATTGAAGAAGTTGGAGTAAAAATTACCAATTTCTCAAAAAAAAGTCTAAGTTCAAAAGAGGCATAATTCTGGAAATAGTCTTGCTAGAAAATTGAACACTTACAAATGTTGAGTGACAATAAGAAACATTTATATGAAGTTTGAAGTAGATACATTCAGAAAAAGAAGTTATTAAAAAAACAATGTTTTTTCATGAAAATTTTAAGTTCAAGGGAGGTAATTCTGATAAATTTTGTGCTAGAGTTGTAAACCTTGTCACATATGATGTGGTTGATGACAAGCAACTTATATTTAAAGTTTGAAGAAAATATCTTGAGAAATAAAGAACTTATAGTGAAAAAACTTAAAAACTAGAATCAGAAATATTGAAATTCAGTCTATTTGTTGCCATAGCAACCAGAATTTTCAACATAGGAAGATAAAAAAGGATGTGCATAATTTCCATACTGCCATCTACCCATATGTCAAGTTTCATAAACATATTTTCAGTACTTTTTGTGTTATCACTGGATCCAGGTTATGTGTAAAATTTGCCATATTTTCAGTCTATTTGTTGCCATAGCAACCAGAATTTTCAACATAGGAAGAAAAGAAAAAGACGTGCATAATCTACATACTGCCATCTATCCATATATCAAGTTTCATAAAAATATTTTTAGTACTTTTTGCGTTATCGCGGGATCCAGGTTATGTGTAAAATTTGCCATATTTTCAGTCTATTTGTTGCCATAGCAACCAGAATTTTCAACATAGGAAGAAAAGAAAAAGACGTGCATAATCTACATACTGCCATCTATCCATATATCAAGTTTCATTAAAATATTTTCAGTACTTTTTGCGTTATCGCGGGATCCAGTTTTGTGGACGGACGGACTGACGGACAGACAGACGGACTGACGGACAGACGGACGGAGGGTAAACCTAAAGTCCCCTCCGGTAAACCGGTAGGGGACTAATAAAATGCAAACAATAAAATCAATGAAAACACAATGTAGGAGAGACATATTTACGAACTTTGAGATCCAACACAACAGCCTGGTTTAAAGACCCACTGTCACCGACATCTGGCTATGAAAAAATCAAGGAATTACGAAATGTATTTCTATTTCATAAGATTTCTTTCCTATTACAAAACACATAAAACTATACGTAACAATGGGCTGTTCAGATGCCTAAGTTAACAGCATGCAAAGTTTAAATGGAGACATCTCCCAACTTCCATTGTATTTCATACATAAATAATGCATTAATGCATAAATTTATCCTAAAATACTTAGTAAAGCAGAAGAGATAGGTCGTTAATAATGTAAATACTGCATGTCTAAGTATTCTAGTTTGACAACTAAAAAAAGTCACTGTTGACAAACCATTACTGATGGCAATGAGCATATAAGCTTAGAGGTCAGTGAAACATTGTTGACAACCCATTTCCGATGGCTTCAGACATATAAGTTTAGAGGCGTTAGAATCACTGTTGATAACCCATTACTGATAGCCATAAGAGGTCAGTGAATCACTGTTGCCAAACCATTACTGATGGACAAGAACATTTGAATTTAGAGGTCAATCACTGTTGAAAACCAATTACCAATGACTATTAGCATGTGAACTCAGAAGTCAGAGAATCACTGTTGACATTTACCAACTAAAATTGTGCCCATGCCATTGCCATAAGTATATGTTTTATAAGTCAGTGAATACCTAACATTGACAATCAATTATAAGTGATGAAACCAGTTGACACTAGAGGTCAGTGAATCACTGTTGACTACTCATTGACAATAGAACCCATGGATACAGATTTAATGTTTTAAAGGTCAATGAATCACTGTTAACAACTCATTGGCAATGGAACCTATGGATACAGAATTTATGTTTAAGAGGTCACAGAATAACTATTAACAAACATTTACTAATGGAGCCCATGGCCATGTGTTTGCGTGGATTCAAGATTTCTGTTCTCTATACATGAAAATATATATTGATATAATATCATTTGTTCCTGTAAAAAACAGTATCTGAGTTAATGTACAATACACTTAATTCATTTCTGTCCTGCTAAATTCAAATTCAAACCAATAACAATGGGACAGGATACATAAACAATTTTATAAAGTAACTTAATTGGAAAATATACTTGAATGTTGTTGCTTTTTTAACACAATAAGTCTTGTCATAAAAGATACATCAATATTATACAGTAAATGCAGGTATATAAAATGTAATAAAATGTTCAATAAAAATTTGTTACAAGGGCATCCATATTCCCAGGACAGTATATTCAGATGTCAAATATAGATTCATCTCAAGTCAGCTGTATTTTCATTTTCAGATCTAAGAGACAATATTTTACAAGAAGACAATATTCTAAAAAAAACAACAACACCTTATATTATGGATTGAGCTTGTGTAAAGATCAGACCTCTGTTTCTAACATATCCTGTACCCGTATAGATCTATTATGCATATATGGTTTAAAATATACAACAAAAGGCACGGAATATACATTTTCAGACAACAACAAAAATCCCACATTGCACTTATATTTTTGACAAATAAAATACGTGTGCAATGAAAAAAATGTGACAGGATGGAAAAAAAGGAATCAAACAGTTTTGCAAAAACATTAATTACTGAATCAAGAATATCACACACTCAAGGTAGATTACTTTAAATTGAGCAGTATATTAAGTATGAATTGGAAATCTATATAATATCAATTATGTACATCGTTTCAGATAACAACTTTATTAACAAGTATGGAAGAGTTAGAACAATTAACAAAACAAAATTAAACAAATACATGTACAATTTAAAAATCCAAGAATTTTTACATGAAACCAACTGTTACAATTTCATTAATGAATTGAACCAGATATACATGTATGTAAATAGAGGTTATTTGCTTGTTTTATAGTCAATATAAAATATCTCTCTAAGAAATGAGAAATTTTAATCCTCAACTAGGTCAAAGCTGTTGGTGGCCCTATGTTTGTATTTTGATATTTAAAATCCCTTAAATGGACAATTACAATTTTAAAGCAGGGAAAATTTCCAATGTTAAGTGTTATATACATGTATTTTTAAAGCCTCTTTGCTCCAGTGGAATTATAAAGGAAATTTTAAGTTTGAAATAAGATATTCCATATCCAGAGAAACAGGGTCTTACACCTACAATAAAAAACCCTTGCTAAGCACAATCTTGCATCACATTATATAGTTTTCCCCATTGCAAAATGACTACTTTACATGACAATAATCCATGACCTCATAAAAATCTTTATCCATCATGCATTCTTCTTTGCACACAGAGCCTAAAGTCTGCACCTCACCATGTTTCAAACAGTGTGATATAACTTATACCTCACTAAGTGATAATTCATCAAAAAACATATAATAAACAGGTAGGAAGACTTTGATACTGCTATGTAATATTTTTTATCTAACATGTATCATATACTTAAAGGAAAATAACATAAATAAGTCAGAAATTCTAAAACATGCATAGTAGGCCTATAGTTTATTTATAGCTACAATTTTATTTGTGTTGCATAAGTTCTTTAATAAAATCCTATGATTACCCGTTAGCATTTTAAGTCTTTAATCTGAACAGTGCACACAACCTTTAAATGTTTAATTAATGATGTACTATTTAAACATTAAGCCAATATGTCATCATAAAATTGAAAAAAAATTCACTTCATGTTCAACATGCTCATCGTAATCTTAAACAGGATCTTTGTAACAATATCAAAACACATAAGACATGTCTATGACTATTTACTGAATGTGGTAAAGCAGTAAAACCGTTAAGTTGGATCATAAGTAAAATAGGCTATTTTGGACAACTCAACAACAGTCCATTTCTCAAAAAAAAATATATCGTACCACTTATTTAAATCAAGATGAAGAAGAATTTCTACTTTTTTGTCTCACAGGAATCTTGGATTTTACTGGACTGTTGTTGTTATTAGCATTTGCAGTGGTAGTTCTTTGCCTTACTCCATTTTGATCAGAAATTCCTGAATCTTCTTTCTTTTGAGCAACTTCTTCAAACACTTCCTGGTGATTCTCCTCCACCTTTACCTCCCTTTCTGGTATCCTTGTTTTCTTTTTGGGAGAAGAAGATTTTACTGAATGATTGTGATTTGGAAGATCCGCCTGTTCGGATGAGGGGTGTTCTTCGACATGTTCATGATCTTTTGAATCCTCAGATTTCTTGGGACGCTTTGGATGATGAAAACACCAGACATACACGGTACCTATGATCAAGATGGCAGATGTTATTCCCATGAGAACAAAGGCTATTTGAATGCTGAAGTCCCGCACGGACAATATCATGTGTTCTTTAACATCGTGAAAAACTTCTTCAACATCATGAAACACTTCCTCTACATCGTGTTTGAACTTGTCAAATTCTGTAGCATAGAATGTAAACATAACATGATTACTAATCCCTAAGCACTGTAGATATTTTAAATTGAAAAACCGGTCTACTTTGTAATCTGCACAAATCATTCAAAAGAATTACGGACAGTATAGATAAGAACGCATCAGTTAATTTTGGTCCGCACTAAACGCATGAGTAGAATCATGCCAGCATGCTAGGGAGTTAAAATAAGTTAATAAAAACAAATCGAAATTATTCACTTTCATGTAATACCGGTAATTTAAGTTAAATATTTTAATGCAATATTAGACTTTTACTGTTCGTTTTTCTAAAACAATTTACTATTGCATATACAAGCAGATGTAAATTTAGAATACATGTATGTATGACATTTGCATTTAACAAGCATCATATAATATAATACAGAAAGCATTTCCATAACAATGATACTGAATTTGTGTATACATGTATTGAGTAATGATCGGGTGTTAAGTTAGGTGTTAAGTTATCCTATTTTGTAAATGTCATATTGCGATTTTCCAGCTTTACTAATAGAACAAAAAGTCGGTCGCATTATTCAGTCACGAATGGATATCGTAACAAAACAACGGACATTCCGTTATCTAGCTGATAACTTTCTCCCATATTAGAATCCAAAGTCCCTGGAAGAATGGGGTTCGACCCTGCAGCCGTGACTGACACAATATATATGGTGATGTATAAGTTATTTTGGTATATCAGCATAGGTGTATTATGATCAATAGATAATGGCAACTCTATATTTTGAGACAAAAAGGTTTAGATGTCAGCTAATGTCAATGTAGCAAAACAACTTTCACCCCACTTCCCAAAAAGAATTTCACCTTAGCACCAGACGACACCTAAACATGTGAATATCATCATAAAAATATGACTTACCTTCCTTTACTGTCATTTTCGATCAATATATACGCCTCAAAACATTCTAGAACACTATCAAAACAGAGGTTATCATCAATACTTCTTCCTTCGCCCTAACCTGAAAAAAAAAGAATCCAATTAGCTCGCTTGTTATAATGAAACCAAAAATTGTATAATTTAGGTAAACATTAATACATAATCGCGCATACTTAATGAGTATGTACATGAATATAAATCAACAACTGTTTCATCAAAGTGTAACAGGTTTTTATGTTTTGTCACATCTGTCTCTCTGTAAATAAATTGATAGACAACACTGAAAACCAACAACAACAGAAACACAATATATAGTTTACAGTGCTATCCTAAGCATTCGTTTATATCGATTTCATTGCATGTGAAATAAGATAATTCTTTTTAGCAACACTGGTGAGATTATTTCGGACTTGGCACGGAATCACTTGCCGTTATAACCAAAAAAATCGTATTTTAAAAACTTATGCCAGAACGTACTGGTACTACTACTACTAGTGGTACAATAAGGAATGTCGCTAATAAAAAATCAATATTTGCAGTATTGAAGAAAAAAATCTTTGAAAATCAATTCAATGCCTACTTTTCCGGTCGTATTATTTTAGGTAAAATATTCTTGCAAATTGTCTTCTTCTTTTTTATCAATCCGTAACGCCCAAAAACCATTTTTACTTTCATACCAGCATTTTATTTAGAAAAAAAGTGCAAAAAGCCTTTAAAAATTCCTTACAGCGACTTCTTTCCCCGTCGAATTGTAATTGTGTATATTCTCTTTGTTTTTTACTTTTATTTATAAATCCTAAACGCTCATAACCTTTTTTCCCTAAATAATCAATTTTTTTAGCAAAAGCTGCCAAAAATAAGCAATGTCCCTGAAAACAACTTTGGATCTTGCGTTACTATTTGTGAGGATAAAATCGATCTATATATGAGCCGCGTCACGACAAATCCAACATAATGGGTTTGCGACCAGCATGGATCCAGACCAGCCTGCGCATCCGCGCAGTCTGATCAGGATCCAAACTGTTCGTCTATAAACCCTATTACAAGTAGAGAAACTGATAGCGAACAGCATGGATCCTGATCAGACTGCGCGGATGCGCAGGCTGGTCTGGATCCATGCTGGTCGCAAACCCATTATGTTGGTTTTGTCGTGACGCGGCTCATATATATAAACAGTGACTTATTGATGAACTAGTACTTAAAGGCAAAATTAAGAATACGTCAATCATACTGACTTGCTGAAGGCTAGTGAATAATTTAAGCGACTATGAGCTTGTTTTACATTTACTTCCCAATTACTACATCGACCAACATCTACTGGATATCATCTTTGTACTTCGTATTTTTCCTACAGATTGATATTCAGTAATCGTGAAGGTTTAATAATGAATTGAATTGCCCGCATCATATAATAACAGTGTTATACTACCAGTGTATATTTTATTCTTTATTATAGTCTCATCTATATACATATAAAACATTTAAAACACTGTATGTGTTTTTCCTCAAAATAATAAATCTGATTCTTCATAATGCATTCGATATTAAATTAAAATTCACATCATTATATATAGCCATAATAGTGAAACACTTTACATACAAGTACAACAATTATATGTATATGCATTATACAATAACTCCTATACATAAACCCATTGACACGTACAGTTTCCTTTTTTCTTTAGAAATAGGATGTGGTTAAAAATGAAATTGAGGCATCTGGTAAAATCGTTCATTTTATATGTTTAAGCAATGCTCAATTACTTCCAATAAACGCTCTACATATTATAGAGTCGTGCGTGCAGTGAGTTGTGGATCGAGCTAGTGACTTCTATCCAACCGACTACACAGTCACTAAAATAAGACCATTTAAATTTAATTTGGGCTAGTATGAAATAAAAACCAACAGATTTAAGCCTCTTAATGATTTGTTAGATTAGCTCTTTAGTTGTTAGCTTTATATTTACATCCAAATTAATTAAGTGCCACCTAATATGAAGACGCAAATCTGCACGCGGGTTCAAATCTAAAAGAGTCAACTTTTTTCCCTTTCTTTCTTTTTCTTTTAACATTTATCATGTATCTCTCAACTCTCTTTTAAAAAGAAGGAAGCGTTTAATTTTCTAAGATTCTATTTGAAAGACCCTGATTGGATGATATTATAGATCATTTAAAGTTTTCTCATTTCTGAAAAAGAGCCCTTCTTAGTTCTAAGCTATGTTTCAGAGCTTTTCCCATAACTCGTAAACCGTAAAGTAAATTATGTTTAATTTTTTCATATAGGTGTTCTTTAAAGCATAAAAACTGACCTAACATTCAGTCTAACTGAGACAGGTTATGTTTTTCATCATTTTCTATACGTATCTTTTAAAATTACAAAAATTCGTCATTAAGCCTACATAATCTGGGACATATAATAGTACATCACTTTTAAACACATCTAGTGATACCAGTATAGCTCTGCAAGCGTTAAATTAGAGGAAACATAATGCAAATGGTATAGAGGTACACTCCGAGACATATTTTAGCGTATGCAAATAATCAATACATGTCACAACACTTCCCCTTTAACGTTCTTATAATACAATTGACTTCTCCTTTAACTTAAGCTCTTCATACCTGTGATCTAGTTACCACGTTTACTTCATATAAACATTCAGTGTTAAACGTAAAATTACAATGAAATGGACCTACCCTCCAGTATCCCTTTATTCTTTATCCAATTAAATCACTATCTATCAATCCATAATAAAGTTTCGACTTTCTAAATTGCTTAAAATCGCTATAAATGCAACAAGTTGTTGACCGACTTAAGATAGAGGAAGACAACTCGAATTACTTCCCTTTGATTAAATGATACACTCGAGTGGGGCTCTAGAAAGTGATTATCGAGGCGTATTATTTCGATAAATACCGGATATCATATCGCAATAATTTATATGCATGATACGCATTCATTAAAGTAGCCAGGGAATAAAATCGGCTGTAATTATCTATAATCTTATAGGCAGTAGTTTTTACTGAATGTTCAGTTAAATATTTCAATTTCATTGAAAAGTCTACAATAAATAATCGGCATGGACACTGGTGGTCTATGTCCGTATACAGTCAGATCAGGCTTCATATTTTTAAATAATATGAGACTCTTACTAATTTTCATGAAATTTAAAAATTTTATCTTTAGAAGTTACGTTCCGTACGTTAAGTATATAAATTAGGGGATAACAATGCTCTAACCGAAGGTACTTTTATCCGTAAATATTATATACTATAGCATGTTATTGCGTTCCATTGTGTCACATTAAATGCATGACACTTTTCAATTTCACATCAATTATCTATCCTTTATACGCCATTTATCGCACCAATTAAATGCACATCCGATCGATGCACGCCATTTTGCCACATCCAACAGACGTCATTAATCAAATCCTTTGAACGCTATCTTGTCACATCTAAAGTACGACATTTTGTTACATCAAATACACGTCATTTCGTCACTTCCGTTGCACATCATTTCATCACATCATATATATGCACTTCATCTTGTCACATTCAATGCACGTAATTTCGTCACATTCGTTGCAGATAATTTTATCACATTCGACGCACGTCATTTCACCACATCCTGTGTAAGCTATTTTATCACATGCTATGTAGGTCATCAACTGTTTTACACCGGATTCAAATCTTTGTGTTTAATTTAATGTACGACAGTACACTATATCTCATGTACGTCACAATGGCAGATCAAATGCACGTGATTGAATGACGTCCAATTTACATTATTTTGTCAACATCCAATGCTTTGTATCAATTGACATATGCAATGCACGTCATTATCACACTCTTATATAGGTCATTGTGTTAGACAGAATGCACGTCATTACCATAATTATTTGATTTTGTCACATCTAATGAATATGCACGTAATTTGAGTCACATGTAATGAACGTGTTTGATTGAAGTGGAGACACTTTAAAATAATGTGTTTTTAATTGACAATGTTATAGTCATTTTTATTCAATGAAAAAAATGCAGCATTATTAATTACATAAACAGCGATACTATGCAAGCAAAGAACTAACAAAATATTAATAAGCAATGCTTCACATTTTACGATGGGAAGGCCACCAGGTTTTGTTGGACACATGTTGCAGGATAATCCTTTCTCCGATCAAAACCGAATGGCAAATGCTGGTTAATACGGGGAACGTGGTAAAGTAACTAGTAATCCCGCTTTAAACCATCAGATTGACAAATATAATATGATGAAACAATACATGTTGATATATCAATTGTCTCATGTGCAGAACTGTTGAATTGTTGAAAATTGGATTTGATTTATTTTACATGAAACATTAAAAATACACGTATCTACCTCTATTTATAATAACTGCAAATGGATTTAATGAAATTATGGATGTTATAAGAGACAGGAGAGGGTTATAGGTGTTGAAAATGAGAAGTTTTTTGGGAATTCTGACTATTCTTTATTGTATATGTGTGTTTTACTTATTATTTCACATGGATGACAGCGCAGCAGGTGACAAAAAATATGTAACGCCTGTGAAATGCACGCCACGTGTACTGCAAACAACTGCAAAGCCAAAGGTGCTCAAACCAGCTCCTATTGTAATACTACCTAAACAATATGGTCCAGGTAATTATAAAGTAATAATGAAAAAAAAATCTTTAGTCCTTAGTAATTTCACCATAACCATTGTCTGCTTTCATTTACACTATTATCAAACATTAGTATAACCAATATCATCAGTATCATCATCATCATCATCGACGTCATCTAAACGTTTGCTTAATATTCAGTAAATAATACTTTGACAGTTTCCCTAAAATTATGAATTTTATCTAAATTGAAAGATGGTCAAGTCTATTTCAAATAGTCAGATTGCCGAGTGTTTTGATGTCCTCATAGTCAAACATAAAAACACGTTCCCTGTTGTCACAATATGAAACCCCAGAAAAAGTTACCAATGAACGAGCATCTGGATATGATATTTCTGTCGCTTTCCCTGCTTTCTCTGCTGTCACAATAAGTGAACCCCTGCAAAAAATAAGCCACTCAATGGGCATTCTCTGGAGTGCCGGAAACTAATACCTGCACTCAATTTAACACACTGTGCATGTATATGTATACGATTTAACTCTGACACATTTTCAACAGAAGCAAACCTTTCCAGCCATCTATCTTTTCTTTCTATGAAAAGGATGCCATTCATTGCTGGATAGCAAACTTAATCTTTTGAAATCAAATTTTGATGTTACCTTGCAGGCTTGCACAAGTTGTAAATATTTATGCAAAAGCGATTTTGTAAGGTCAGTATGGCATGGTTCCACGACCTTTACCGATAATTCGGATGGGGAGAATAAATTGGGTCACCCGAAAATGTCTTGTTAAACATAATATATGAGACTGATAGAAATGAATAATGTAAGGATAATATATCTGCATGGTTTATTTCAGGTCGAAATGGAACTCCTGTTATTTTCTCGGACCTGTTGACCAAAGAAGATAAACGGTTGATAGGGATATTTCACAGAAAATATGATTATAATGCATTTATAAGCGATATGATTCCATTCCCGCGTATGTTGCCTGATTACAGACCGGACAGTTGCAGGCGACTTCGTTACCCTGACAACCTACCAAAGGTCAGCGTTATCATACCGTTCAGGAATGAGAGGCTAAGCGTTCTTATGCGCACAGTGTATGGTATATTATTCTACTCGCCAGATACTCTTCTAGAAGAAATCATATTAGTTGATGACGGGTCCACGGAGCCAGATTTGAGACATAAATTAGATGTTCACGTGCAGAGTCTTTCGAAAGTAACACTTATAAGAATGACGGCAAATGTTGGCTTAATGATGGCAAGACAGGCTGGTATAGAAAGAAGTCAAACGGAATATTTCATATGCATGGACAGCCATATGGAGGTATCGGTAGGCTGGTTGGAGCCAATTCTAGCCAGACTTGTTGAAAAACCAAAGGCGCTCTTATGTTCAAACATGGGCGGAATAAACAATGAAAATTTCATGGTGACACACAATCGTGTTCCCTTTGGTGTCGCGTTTGATTTCCCTTTCTTTCAGTGGAACTTTGAACAAGAGCAGGCGCGATATAACGATGCATACAAAAACTCTCGTACTAATCTAACAGAGCCCATAGTGATGGGGAGTGTTATGGGTATGATGATATGTATGAAGAAGTCTTGGTTCCTTCAGCTTGGTGGGTTTGATCCTGGAATGAAGGTTTGGGGAAGTGAACAGATCGAGCTTTCAATTAAGGTGTGGATGTGCGGGGGTGTAGTTGAAATGATACCTTGCTCCTTTGTGGCTCATATCTACCGCCGGGTAAGTTAGTTAGTCCCAATACCGCGCTCTATAATGATATGGTTATTTCTTTTACTATTCTTCTTGAGTGTGGTTTTATTATTACTATCATTATAATTATCGTTTTTGGGGGCGCATGCGCAATGCGCCCCCAATGTAATAACGACAAATTCAGATTTACTATGATGTGAACACAATTAGTCAGCTACCTACGCTAAGCAAAATAGTTCCAAAACTTCGCAGTAACTCCAAAATCATAGTTTCCCTATCTATTTTAAAAATTGACTGGCCAATTTTGTACTAAATTTAGCAATCGTCTTTTAAAATTGTATGTATATTTTTTGCTTTACGCGATTTTAATATTACTACGGCCAGCGGTCGATTCATAGCCAAAGTACTTGCATAAATATAGTAACAAATTACATGTAGTCACAAGTTAATTAAGTGTCATAGAACTCAAAAATTTAGCAAGTAATGGAATACGGATTTCAGATCAGCTAACTTTAAGCTTATAGGGCCTAATGCTTCATAAGTGTAAATTTTAAGAAAAAACAATGCATGCGTATGAATACGAACTATTTTTCGCCCTTACGTCATTTTAACCGGCCAATCGCCATTGTTTACAAGTTCATTCCGTGAAAGATTGAGAAGTTTATATAGAATTTCCACGTGTTAAAACGAGTTGTAAGTTTTATTTTACAAAAACCTTATCTCCCATTTACCTAAATGTTGTATAACTTTGCTTGTTGTGCATTTATCCATTTATCAGTGGCGAAATCGTCGTCAAATCGTTGGCGATTCTGGTTGCTTACAGTTACAAAAAAATACAAGGACTTAATACCGGATATGACTTTAAATACAACGTTATTCAAGATGACTGATGTTCATCAGTTCATTGTTTATATTTCATAACGTTGATATTTAAGTTGCAATCAAAAAGCTGTATTTTTTACAAATTTTCTTCACAAATCGGCCATTATCGGGTAAAGCTTTTTTGTACTGAATTGACCTTATCAAATTTTAAGTTTTAGCAGTTCCTTCCCTTGAAAGTCCTCCCTCAAACCATTTCCTACCCAGACATTTTTGACCCATTTTTTTTTTATATATTTTTTGGAGGTGAGTTATTTACATCTAGCGTATACATATTGTTGATGGCTTACCTTACAGATTTTTTAAATAAAAAATATACAAGTTCAGTAATGATGTCTTATTACATTTTCTCAAAGAATGAACTGGATCCACGATGCATAATCCATATTTGTACCCTCTTTGCGAATCTGCTGAAACGGTACCTATCATTCACTGCTTAAAACAAACCAGCGGTGGATAACAATCATGTAAAATTTCATTGTAATAAGGAAAAGAGCTGAGGTATGACACTTAGAAACCACAGAACACTAGATTGTTTTATTTATGTGCTGATTCATCATGTGCCAGTCTCTCATGTACTGCAACTTCATAATAAAGCTAAAAAAAAATCGACATGTCTTGCCTTGTCCATCACTCGGGCTTACAGACACTTCACCCCCAGAACACTTTCACCCTAGGCCCTTTTTTGCAGACACTTCACCCCTCATTTTAAAAAATTTGAGTAAGGTTATAATTATATTTACACTGGGGATTAGCATTGAAAAACCCTGACATTTGCTTAGTTCTGTGTAACATCTATACGCTACCAGTACAATTTTTTTTTGGAAAAATGCGTTTTTGACTCCAAAATTGATACTACATAACTGACAGATATTCATGCCACATGGTTAATTTAGAATTTTTATCCAGGGAGACATGAGAATTATGCATAATATTTATTACACATTTAAAGTTAAACCATGCATTATATATTGATTTCTTATTGGAGTGAAAAAAATGAGTACATGTACATAAATAATGTTCGGAAGTATAAAATGAAACTAGGTACAAATATTGCTCTGTCAGATGTAGTTATACTTGGTTTTTTATCACATATCACTTATCAATATGAAATCATCCATTTTATATATGCCAATTTTGGATGGGAATTTTGACAGTAATTTTGGGACTTTAAAAATAAAACATTTGAAAATTTGCTGTCTTTTTTTATTGGGAATGTAAATAGTTTTTATAAGGGAAAAAATGCTGTTCTATTACAAAATAGAATAGATAATATATATATAGTTACAAATACTACAAATAATATATCAGGGATTTGAAAAACGAAAAACAACAACAACAACAATGCTTAAAAAAATATAAATTTCCTACACGTTCTGACTCATTTTTTTTTTTTGAAAGACATTTTTTTCTTTTTTGAAGACACTGTTTAACTTACTTCTTTCTGGCTAAACATTTGCCAAATATATTGCATTGTGACATTTTAAAAAAATTTTGTGGAACATACTGGAAATCGCCGCACGGGCTTTTAGTAAGTTTTTTACAAAATAGAATCAGACAGAATTAAGCGTTGCATTCAACAAAATCAACATCAGTTTTGCCCATCAACACAGGGGAATTTATTTGTGCTCTGTCCTACTAGTAAAACTTGAAAAATGGTTTCAAAAGAATTGAAATGAAATTTGATTAATTTATGCTAGAAATTTCACATGTCCTGCAGGATGAGCATTTTTGGGAGATTAACTTGTCCAGAGTCATTTTTTACTCGTATTTATCATTTATGAGCGGACAAGTGGATTTGTCAAGCCTTGATTAACTGCAAGTGATTAACCACATTATTTCCATAAAACTTATACTACATGTAAATTACATTGTTTGAGATAATAAATCATTTGACTTACTAGTGAAATAAGTTTAAGACTGCATAATATTGATATAAAAGTGAATTCAGTTAGTGGGTTCCAAAACTACAGGTGGAAACTGTTCTATTTTCTATTCAAGTTTTTTTTTTTTGATGAAACAAAACTTAATCCTGACAACAGTTATATATGCTTAACAGTGTTGTATTTTGATTATTTTAAAATCTGTTGAAAATATTCATATTAAATTCATGAAAAGAAGTTTAAAAAAAAAAGAGAAAGAAATGAGATTTGGGCAATAATTTTTAAGAAGGTAAAGAATACTTCAATGAAAAAGGTAAGATAGGTAACAAAAAATCAATCAAACGAAAAACTCATTTAAATTTCAAGTTGTTCCTGACATGTCTAAGTTGTTCCTGACATGTCAGAACAAAATTAATAATTTTTTTTTTTTCAAATCTGGTAACCTCGAGCTATGTTCTCTACCGATTGAGCTATGATTCCGACAAATTATTACTCACTTTTACAATAATTATTGTTAGTCATCATATCTGGACATGCAACATTCAACTTACCCATATATATGCCTTTAAAAAGGACTGTTTCGACTATAAATACTTGAAATTAATAAAGAATTGCCCTATTATCTCTTTACAGTCTTATTGTGTATAGGCTAAATTTAGGAGACACTTGTGAAAATACGCAATGAAAAATGAATAATTACATTGAAAATACAGGAAAATGAAAATGAGCATTTTACTTTATCAATATTTCTTAATGTTTCAATGAAGTATGTAATAAATTAAAAAGAACTATTGTATTGATTAGGAAAAGTTTTTATTTCAGGTTTGTGAATAAAGGCTTTGTTTGTTAGATTTCAATTGTGGCTCAGTTGGTTGTTTGCTGAGAAGCTGTGAAACATAATTATACAGGCCATTAAGGTAAAAACATGTTAAGCTTTTTTCTGACTTTGATATATATATCCATCTTACTGTAGCATAACAAAAGAGAAACAATAGAATTTCAATTCCATAACAATAGAATATGGGGCCATGGCCCTTTAATAAACAAAAGGAAAAACAATAGTAAATGGTCCTTAATCCCTTTTCGGTCACAACGGGCAAAACATTTTCTTCAAGTAAGACCAATACATTATATATGTTTAGAAAGTTAAAAAGGAAATGTTCATTGTTATATATATATTTTGGTTTGAAAATCTTTGTATATTTACAATTTTGACCAAATAGTTTCTCAAGTATTTATTTTGAACATTAACTGACATAATTAGTGGCATATGTTTTCTCTAACTTCTTTTCCAGGAGGTTTTTTGTCAGATTGAATGAATGTGAAATTAAGAGGACCCATTTTGAGGATGCTTTTTATGAATGGAATCACGAGAGATGAAGTCTAAAAATGTGATACTGTCAATGTGACTAACCTTGAAGTAAACAGATGACACAATGTTTTTTTTCAATGTCATGGGCATATAATGAAGAGGTACATGATTATTTGTACACACTTTTCCTTAATAAATACTTTCTAAATGTTTGACATGTTAAAAGGCCAAACACAGGGCTCAAAGTTTATTTAAAAAATCTGTAAGCTTTTGGCACTTAGAGCCAATTGTATATTAATTATTTCAATATCTTTTCATTATGCAAATCTGTTGTTAATTTAGGAACAAAAGTCGATAGCAAAAACATTTTAGGCCGTGTCATGACGAAACCACATAATGGGCATCCGCCAGTCTGATCAGGATCCATACTGTTCGCTATCAGTTTCTCTACTTGTAATAAGGTTTGGTAAGCGAACAGCATGGATCCTGATCAGACCAAAACCTGGTCTGGATCCATGCTGGTCGCAAACCCATTATGTTGGTTTTGTCATGACATGGCTCATTTGTGACATGTAATTCACTTAAATTGTATTTTGAAATTCAAGTTTTCATTCCTTTCACCTCAAGGCCATTTGACATTGAAATAGTGACTTCATTTAGTAAGCAGTCAGTAAAACCTAATCATCTCATCTTGACCTTAGCTGTATATAGATTATCAGAATCACTCACATTTACAAATTTATATGACTTTAAAAAGTTTGTGTTACTAAGCAAATAAATAGATTTAATTGGGGTGACCATAGTCAAAGTAATGCACCTAAACCACTTACCTTTAAAGATATACTATGCTCAATCAGTAAAATATTTTAATCATGAAAATGTATTGAAATTCTATGCAATTCTTTTTGAATATGTCTAATTTGAATGAATTAACTATGCATTGGAAGCCATGTTCC